CCATCTCAATACGCCCTGATCTCGTACACTAATCGTATTGAACTTGGTGGGAATCGCTTCAGAACCTTCAATTCCTATAGTGAATGTATCAATAACTTTTCCTCATATATAACGGTTTATAAGATATTTCTTTCCAAACACAGGTATAAGGAGTTGACTCGAGTAAAGAGTCTCGGCGCGCTGCGCCCTGTACAGCCGGTTGCCTGTACTTGGCGCGAGACTCGACCGAGTCTCTTGATTCTTCGAGTCGAGATAACGTGAATCTGTTGTAAAAAAATTAGTCCGTCGCGCATCTGGTTATTCTGGATACTTATGGATTCTCGGAAACTTATGCTATATCCGCTACCGATAATTCTAACGGGGAGTATCAAATCGTTATCGTTGCTTTAAGATAACGAGTGATAGATAGTATTCACTACAGGTGTTACTACCTCTCTGGCTTTCCAGTTTGAAAGTGTACACGAGCACATTCGTTATGTTATATATGGCTCGTCGAAACGTTCGATTAGTGCACGATGTCATTGGCATATAAGAACATTGTCAGGTCAGTGAAGAAAAGTATGACTTTTCGAAAAGAAAATTTGAGATTTCACATTTTCTGCGTGAAGCATCCACATTCTTATTATTAGTATGAAATCTGTTGACGCATTAAATGGAATGTCTGACAGCCAAAGAAGGGAGATCGTTGGGAGAACAAATATTTCTGAGACATTACTTTTTTTTTTTTCAAAAATCAGATTTTTCATTCATCACCATCTTGGCCTCTATTAATATGCTCTGTCCCCCCAAAAAACAGAATACCCATAAAGTTAAATAAAAAATTGACAATGATAACTTATCAAATTTTCACGAAGATCCCGATGAACTTGCCAATATTTTTTTTCACTCATTTGAATGGTTTTCATTTACGCAATAAGTAGCAATCAAGATAAGACCGCCGGCTGTCATTTGCCGTGCAGTGAAAATTGTCGTCGATAAGGACTTCGAGAAAAATGCGAATCGCTCCGATCAGTTATCGATCGTGCCAACCAGCGGTAAAGTTGCGTAGTCAATTGAAGTCTCCAGTGCGTCCAACGCTTTGAACGGATCGAGGGTATTGAACTTGAACACGTGGGTGGTACGATCCTTGAAGTAAGAAGGTGAAAGTGTCCCTTATGGTATAGTTAATTTCTTTTTTCATGATGTCAAAGAAAAAAATGTTCCAACACATCCCATAATTTTCCAATACAAACTCATGGAAGCAAATGTATAAAGTATTGCGCGTTCGCTATTTTTGTTTTACGATCTCATACGTTCAATCTCCTCGCTCGGATCGCCACAAGATATACCGAATGATGCTTTACATTATTCTTTCTGTTACAGTCATCTTGCCAAACCATTAAGCAGGAGTACACCATCGATGACGGGTGGGACGACGCAGACTCCGGCGACGGTCAGCAGATCATCGCCAACGTCAACAAGTAGCGCCAGACAAAAGAAATTTCACAGACACTTTGCCCAGGTAATTTAACTGACTGATCCAACTTACCGATCTTCGTATATCCAATCTATAGCTATATCCGTAGCCTTGATATAGATTATATTTAATTTCGATAAAATCACGATCAATTATCATTCTGGATACTTGTTGTTGTACTATAATAGCTCTCGTGACAGTCACGTGTCTTGTAGTTGAGACGTCTTGTGACGTTAGGAATATATTGAGTGTGCAGTTGAAGTCTCTTAACACGTTACGGACGGGTTCAGGGGATATCTTGTATTTACTATTTATCTACAAATATGGACACCGGGTATAGTTGGCAATAAAGCGTCCGATGATGGTCGCTGTAACACGCGATGATCCTCCATTCAAAATCCTTCTCCGTAACACAGTGCCAAGGACAGTCTCGACCTAATCTATAGTCTTCCAAATTTTGCGACCAGGTCGCCGCCGACGAACGCGTCCTCAACTACTACAGCTGCGCCTTGGTCGGCGATATCCTGCTTCAGGGTCATCTCTACATCACGCCAAACTACTTTGCCTTCTACAGCAACGTATTTGGTTACGTAACGAAGCTCCTGATACCCACAGTTTCCGTGCAGAAGATCAGCAAGGAGAAGACAGCGAGGATCATACCCAACGCAGTGGCCGTCACCACTGACGACGAGAGGCACGTTTTCTGCTCCCTCCTGTCCAGGGACTCGACGTTCAAACTGATGAAGCAGGTCTGGGACGCGGCTATAGAAGCAAGACCGGTCGCTGACATCCTTCCGTTACCCGTCGAGGGAAAGCTCTTGGCGCCGGTTACGTTGCTGGTCGACGACTCTGAGGTCAATCCCGAGGAAGACGATTCGAGTATGTCAGAAAGCGGTACCGATCTTACCTCAAGGCCACCGACCGTTTGTACGGATACCGATGGTCACTCTGCTAGCATTCCAAGGCCCATTTTGCCAGTCACTAGGTCAGTCTCTAATCTGTTTGATAATTATTTTGAAATTCGTGTTGAAGTAGTTTAATCTTATGAAGATTGCTTTTCTTCTTTTTTTTTTTTGAGGTGCAGAATCGACCAAGCCAATTTAGCCAAATCTGTTTCATCCACGAGGTCCAACTCGTTGAGTACTACTTTTTGGGGTGGACTTAGGTCCAGCACTGTTATAGCCATTTTGGTTGCTATTCTTGCTGCTCTCTACGTCTCAGCAGCCCTCATGATGGTTCGCATTGACAGATTACACACGGCGTATCTGAATCATCCTCTTGCCTCACCTGAGCGTTTCACGCAGGATCAATTGCTGCAGTATCTTAACTCAAACCTGGATCAGATCGTCAGGGTAATTACCTTGATCCGTGATACTTGAGTTATCTCTTTATCAGAGATTAGACATTTGTAATAGCAAGTCTGACCATGTGCGACGTCTATTGTTACAGGTAAGACAGAGTCTACAGACGTTATCGCAGCAATTCGTCACGATGACCTCAGACAGCGAAACGGGCCCAGTGGTTTCCGGTGGGACAGTGGAACCGGAAGATGCTTCGAGTTAGCCCCCAAGAACTCCAAATAATCTAATTCTACCAAATAGAACGAGCCCCTCCTCGCCTTCCTAGCGTATGAAGCGCCTGCCACGTAAAACAAAAGGATATTAAAAAAAAAAAAGAAATTGCCGCCGTCGTCGTATTCATCGAACGTGCACCGTCGCTGCCGTTGAAAACAGAAGCGACACTGTCACGTAGCTCGTGATCGATGAGGACTACGCTTCGAGTTCTTCGATTAGGCATCATTAAAAATTACCACCTAGACTTCCGTGTCGAAGTTGGGCAGCCCGCTAACGGGTAGTAAGCAGAATTTCAACAGGATAAGCAAAATCCAGTAAACGATATAAACAAATAAGAAAGGCTCATCCTCAAGTGGTGAAAAAAAAAAAATTGTCCTGAGTATTAGATCGTGTTCATGGATTAGATTTTATTAGACGCTTTCGACAGATATTACGATATAGGACAATTTTGAACGCCGACTACCCGACTGCTGGTGGGGATTTCCTCCCCTCTTTTTTTCTTTTCCTTTGTTCCGTTTTTTGAACTAGTCATGAGTACCTCCCGCCCTCGAGGTACCAGAAATATTAATGATGAAATAAATAATTATAAATGTGTATATACTATATGATATACATGTAAGCAATACACATTTTGCGACTACCTGTTCAATATTTATGTATTTGCTGCTAGTCGGGCATTACTACTGCTACAGGAGTACTATCAATTTATGATGTTATTCTTACGTAATGTATAATAGTTTCCGGGAATGATAGCACGTGGTCGCCTAGCGACTCGCTACTTGGTTCGTCGTTCGTTGTAAATTTTTTGTGATTACAAAGTATTCGTTTTAATGTTATTAGTCGGCTAATTGTTTCCATACGATTTTCAGACCTCGCACTTTCCTCTTGTCACGATTGGCGACGAACGATGGACCAGGTCGCACCTGCATCCTAACGCACGGAACGAGAGGTATTTGAATTAAAAAACAAAAGAGAAACCAAGGGTGAAATCGAAATCAAATAGGAAAACGAGAGGAAGGCGGTTGACTGTGATAATAAGATTGAGAATTTAGCTCGAGCGAGAGTGGATGGCCTCTTGACCTTTGAACAAAAAATTACACGAGATTTGGATACAGAACAAGAGAGATAAGAAGAAAGGGTAAAATGGATTTGATTAAGTAGAAGGAGGTCACGGCTTGCCGTAGCTCGACAGGGGATCTAAGAAAAGTGCTGTTATATTAATTAGCTATAACGATATAATTGTATTTAGATTTATAGTGAAGTTACCTTATATGTTGTTACGATTAGTTATCAAAAGTACAATATACCGCTTAGCGGTTATTATCGGTTTATTAATTTTACGATTATCTTACATAAGTTATCTTAGTCGTTATCGATAAATACGTATACCGCATACATACGTTTACCGCTAGTTTTCAACTTGAAACTTCTCGTTTTGTTTTTGTGAATCATTTAACGTGATTTTGTTGAAAAACGGGTGGACAAGTTTTTTAAATTTTAATAACGTCTCGAGTAAGAAGCTTTCCCCAAAATGTTTTATTAATATTGTATATATTCTTGTGCTCTTTTTTTTTTATTTTTTTTTTTTTATAATTTCTTATGCGATTCTTATACACTTTCCATGTACCCTCGTTTTTACCTTCTTCGCCGAATTTTTACTGAATGCGTTCATCACGCGATTTCCATAGCGTTTCTCGGCGTCAACGAGAATATTCACGTCCGAGTTTTCTGAGCCATTCGAAAAATGTTACGTGCCATAATAAGCGGTATACCAAAAAATATGTGGATTCATGGAAAGAACACCTTTGCGCTACGTAAAGTGACGATATCACTGACGCCATAGGACAGCCAGAAGTCATTGACGAATGATCGCTTTTTTGCTCGGGCATCAATAAAATTCCAATGTTTTAGTGTAATTTTAAGGGTTCGCACGATGCACAGCAGAAAATATAAATTGCACCTACTCCACGGTGTCCATAGGTCCCAATGGAAGCAGGAAACGTCACTTTGTGTGCGTCTATCAACGATTAAGTGAAACTAAGGAGATAAAAAAAATGGCGCGACATAGAAATACTTTTGGGCACGAAATATTTGTTTCCTTATTTAAAAAAAAAAAAAAAAAAAAAAAAAGTCGTAGGACAAAAAAGTCCCAATGGAAGCAGGAAACGTCACTTTGTGTGCGTCTATCAACGATTAAGTGAAACTAAGGAGATAAAAAAAATGGCGCGACATAGAAATACTTTTGGGCACGAAATATTTGTTTCCTTATTAAAAAAAAAAAAAAAAAAAAAAAGAAGTCGTAGGACAAAAAATAATTATTACACGCGCAGCGTCCCAGTGTGTTGCTCGGGAGATGTGGTTTATTAGATAAAAAAAAGAAAGGAGGAATAATTCTAAAGGGAATACGAAGAATTGGAAATAGTAAGAGAAAAGGTAAAAAATGAAATTCCATTGTCAGAGAGTTCTCATAAAGTAATATCTAAAGGGACAATACACTAGAGCGAACGAACATGATATATGGGAATAAAGAAGAATAAATATCAATCTTTCTTTTTATCTTTAGACTGCCCTCGTGCCTAGATACGTATATGCAACTGTTTCACAACGGTTAAAAATCCGCGATGCAGATGCCCGGATGCGAACAGTGGTTAGCTGAATTATCCGTATAGCGGAAGTACCAATACATGTATACTTTATTATTTATCTATGACGAGTTGCCTGATAACCATACGTTCCTCTATAGACTTTTTAGAAGGGTGCTCAATACACGGTTCATATAAATTTTCGTAGATTCGTTGCTCCTGTAAAATTTAACCTTACTTATTACGGAGATGAACCTTAAGGACATCACCGTACACCAAAAGGACGGGACTACATTATAATTTGGACGTAAAAGAAAAGAAAAAGAAAAAAGAAACTTTAACGGCCGGTCTTGCTAGACGAAAAATAAATAATTAATGTACAATGTTAATTGAGTGTGTGACACGGACATTGATTGATTATCGATTAACGATCAATTGTTAATTGTAAAATCGTGATAAAGAGGAGACGGAAGTATTGAAAGAATTGCGAACGAATGAAAATGATTCGCGAAGACGAAATTGTGAAAAGTAAAGTACACAGGCAGACCAATGAATAATTTATTATGCAATTGTGTAGCCGGATACACAGGACACAATAAAATTGTAAAAAATCACCGACCGTCATTCACTGGTTATATTGTTATTAATCCACCTTCCAATGTCCTTTCGCTAATTGTACTTTTTACTAGAGAAAAATTCTTTAATACCGTATTATATGTAAACAGCGAATCGCATTAAAATTTATATTTTCATTCGCAGCTGCACGTGCTCGTTCGGGCTACATATTCGAAATGATTAGTCACGATAGCAGGAATCTGGGCTTACAATATCTCATGTAATTAATTTGAACAGCGGACTCTGTGGTTTATTTCCTGTTGGCGGTTTCTAATTAGGACAATTTAAAACGTAAACCGATAAGATAACTTTTCAAATGCTCTGGCTCTATACCATGAGGAAACTTATAACTGGTACTGGTTGTTTAATCAAAACTTTATGCATTAGTTTGACTATTGGTTGTATGTTTTTATAAATATTTTAATTTTTTTTTTTACTATTGTAAATCATACGACATTCATCCATGCTTTTCCTTGTGGATGGATTTAAGTGTCTTCCACTGAGATCTATGGTGAGTAGTGGGGATTCTGTGGCTTACTAGAAGGAAGCTGTTACTTATATAAAAGGCCAGCCTCACTATAGACTTCAGTACGATATTTGTCGTTGGTAAATCATTAATTCTTCACGCAAAAGTCATTTAATTTATTGCCATTAAAGATATATTGTCGATCAGTGAGATTCTTTGAAATAACATAACTGACAGTCACCTGCTTTTGGTTCCGCGATACATTATCGGATTCAAGGTCAGTCACGTTTTCATGGAGGGACATTGCTTGCGCAACGTTTTTAAATGTAAAATTATCAACAAGTTTGACTCCTGGGTTTTATACTAATTTAACTTATAGTCATAACCCCGTAACTGCACGCTTTAATATTGAACCAGACCTTATGAAAATACCGTGTTCATCGTCATCAAGATATTTATTTGTGTAAGATAAAAATGTTAAAAATTTGAAAAATATGGAAATTTGAAATGGCGTTTCAGGCTTTAAATTTGTTACTAATCAAAAATTCATGCATTATCTTAATAATTGTCTTTTATCGATATTCATTGATGACTGATAGTCAAAAATAATATTGAAGTTTCGAATTATTGAAAATTTCTTAATTTTTTATACTGACGTTTGAAATATTTATTTTCATAATCAACGTGTGATAACTCGGTTTAGAGTTATCAGTTTTGTAATTATAACATTGAAGACGTTACTTGAGAGTATTTAACGATATTAAATAATCTTGTTGTCATAATTACTTTTTGCTCTAATTTGTAAATCAGTCAGGTTTCTTGTCGCGTCGATGACTCAGATTTTCAATGCAATCGATGCTCGCGATTACTCGACGTCAAATCGATTCCATTCAGGGTCTGAATTGGCTCTTAGCAGTCGTTTCACTCGCAGAGAATTTGTCATGGATTTTACGCAATGCGTATCCGATGAATCAAACGCGGATCTCGATGCTGTACGCACTTTCGTAATTCTTAATGTTTCTTCATACCGAAAGACACTTAAAATTATACAATACCGTATCCAGCTTTGAGTATTCAGTAACAAGTTTTTATAGGTACCTTGTATAATCAAGTGTTGATCCTATTGTACAATAAAAAAAAAACCTGGCGTGAGAAGGTATTATGTATATAGTAGAAGTCATAGCGTTAGACAACTTTTTCTATGGACGAAATTATAGACGAAGACAAAGTAAGAGGAAGTTTTGTAGGCCTTCGGCGAAACTGGATGTTAATAATTTTTTCAACTAAATTTCTAAGTGGTTTACCAAAAGTTATGCCTGCTTCTCATTAAATTTAATTAACGTCTAATAAATATACCAGGGAACTTGAGTTTTTTAAATGTTATATTCCAAGAATTTAAATCCTTTGATAAACAGTCGGCATTTACGTATCTTTAGGTTGTATTTCAAGATGGATGAAAATGTTGCAGTCATTCAAGAAAAGACGTTCTTGACCTCGAGCATTCAATATACATATGTAAACGATTGCACTGTGCATACATTTGTACATCCGTATATTTTTATCATTATAATTCATGAGTAATTAATATCAAATATTCATTTCAAAAATAACATCCAGCAAGGCCATTCGATCCATAAGTCAACAAATTGTGGGTATGTTTTGAAATTTGTTAACAGTACTGCAAAAGTAGTTAGCGATAGGAATACTGAATTTGTTATTTAAGAAAATATAATTTTAACATCAAAATCGAATTCAGTGATGTCGTAAATGTAAATAATCACTTTGATTCATTTTTGTTAACAATTGGTCAACAGAGCATTACAATTTTAGCTCAAATCCTCGGTGGCCACAGTTAGTACTAGGTTAACAAATTTTGAAATATGGATCTCAACTTGGAATACCGGAGATGTTAAAACGCTCGGAAATACATTCTGAGTTTATGTTTCTTTGTTATCGTTTGATTCCTTTACAAATAACCGATCGAGCATCCCATAGTCGATTGGGTGTTAGTTATGGGTTAATTTTTGGTTTACTTACGAATTTTTTGTTCTAACAAATCTTCACAGATGGCAGCAGCCGAGCCGCTAATTGTTGAGTCGGTACATATGTACGAGAAGGAAAATGCTACACCTCATCATACCTGCACGTTCGAAATGGTGCATTTGGATCCGCCAATTCCGGTGTTGAGAAGAGGTCAAGCATTCGCGATGGCCCTTAGATTTAATCGTGAATACGTAGACGAGACGGATATTGTTAGACTCCGTTTTAGTTTTGGACCAAATCCAAACGTCCTGAAGGGAACCAGTGGTGTCAATAAGGTGACGAATCAAGATAGTTATTTGACTGATCTTGAAGCCTGGGGTGTTCGTATGACTGGAATTAATAAGAATGACCTGTCGATCGAGGTCAGAAGTCCTGTGGATGCTCCAATTGGAGTATGGCAATTAAAAGTTGAGACTACCACCTTGGGAAACAAAGGGCCGCCAAATACTTTCAATTACGAGAAAGATATTTACCTGCTTTTCAATCCTTGGGTCAAAGGTATAATAAAAATTACTGAAACATTTTTTAAACATAATTTTGATAAATCTTTTATTTTATTTTTTATTTTATTTTTTAAAGAGGACCTCGTATACATGGAGGACGAACAATATCTGGATGAATACGTGTTAAACGACGTCGGTAAGATCTGGGTTGGACCTTGGGGTAGTGCACGTGGCAGAGAATGGGTCTTTGGACAATTTGACGCGTGCGTACTTCCGGCCTGTCAACTTCTTCTTGAAAGATCAGGAATTAAAGCTGCATCCAGAGGCGATCCTATTAAGATGGCGCGAGCCATTTCCAGAATTGTAAGTATTTAACAGCATATATGTCTGGCCAAGCATCTGACGCCATATTTTATTGAAATTGTTCAATTAACTAGGTCAATTCTAACGACGACAAAGGTGTACTTACTGGTCGTTGGGACGGCAACTATGAGGACGGTACAGCGCCTTCCGAGTGGACCGGAAGTGTTCCTATTTTAGAACAGTTCTTAAAAACTGAAAACGAGGTCCAATATGGACAATGCTGGGTGTTCGCAGGTGTCGTCACCACTGTCTGCCGAGCACTTGGACTTCCGTCCAGGGTCATTTCTAATCTAGTATCGGCTCACGATGCAAACGCATCACTTTCTATCGATCGTTATTACAATATGGATAACGAGGAACTTGATTACGATCCTGAGAATTTTATGGGAGAGGACTCAATATGGAATTATCACGTATGGAATGATGTGTGGATGGCAAGACCGGACTTACCCAAAGGATACGGTGGCTGGCAAGCTATAGATGCGACACCCCAAGAAACCTCCGACGGGTTTTACCAATGTGGGCCAACTTCGGTCGAGGCCATTAAAGAAGGTGCCGTTGGTTACAATTATGACGTTCCCTTTATGCTCGCTTCCGTAAATGCAGATTTTATGAGGTGGAAGGAAGATCCCGAGAGCGAGTTCGGTTATAGCAAGATCGACTGTAATAAATACCAGTAAGTCCAAAAAAAGTAATTAATTACAATAATTGCTCATAAAAATGTAGCTGTCCAAAATTGTTGAATTCTTTTTTTTTCGTAGCATTGGTCGCATGATACTTACTAAAGCTCCTTGGATTTTTGATCCTAATGGGGACAAGGATAGAGAAGACATTACATTATTGTACAAAGCCAAAGAAGGTATATGATTTTTGTTTAATTACGCTTTTACATTGTTAATAACTTTTTTTTTAATTAGGAACGAAGGCGGAACGTTTGACCTTATACAGGGCGGTTCGTGGTACCGAGCGAGCCAAGAGATTTTATGCTTTGCCATCTCCAGCCAAAGAGGATGTTGAATTTGATCTTGTTGACATAGACAGGGTCAATATTGGCCAGCCTTTTGCTGTCGTTGTTAATATTAAGAATAAATCAAGCGAACCAAGAACGATACAGGCTATACTGTCTGCTGGCAGTGTCTATTATACTGGAGTCAAAGCTAATCTGGTGAAACGGGCTACGGGTGACTTTGTAGTAAAACCTAACTCCAGTAAGTTAACAGTCAATTATCAATTGACTTTTGTTCATCGAGTACAGGATTATCTGACGTTACTTTGTGATAGGTGAACAGCTTAAACTTCGCATCACTGTTGATGACTATCTGGAGAAGCTTGTTGAGTACTGCAACATGAAGTTGTATTGTATTGCTACAGTTAAGGAAACGAGACAAACTTGGGCTGACGAAGATGATTTTCAAGTACTAAAACCCAATATCAATATCAAGGTATAGATAATAAAATTATTATAAATCAAGTAATTCTTTAAGACATTAATATTATTTTATATACTTTTTGCGTAGATCCAAGGCGAACCTGTAGTTGGGAAAGAAAGCACAATTAGTCTGAGTTTCAAAAATCCTCTTAAGAAAATATTAACCGAGTGTCGATTTAATTATGCCGGACCTGGATTATCGAAGAACAAGATTATCAATTTCAGGGATGTTGCTCCAGAGGAAGTTGTTTATGTGGAACATCAGCTGGTACCTCAAAAATCTGGACAGCAGAAAATCATTGCGACATTCACATCAAAACAGTTGGTTGACATTACCGGCTCAGCTGCCGTTGATGTTCTGGACGAAGATGAGTAAATTGTGAGACAAAAATAGAAAGCTTTTTATACAAATTTAAAGTATAATCGCCGTAACTGTTGAACAAACATTGTATTTTTCTCAATTTTTATACGTAATACTAACTATTGTATGATGTACTTAAATAAAGAGATCAAAGTGAACTTCAATGAATGACTCATTGATTATTATCTTAAAATTACACGCTGTAATGAACGATAAGATATACAATAGATTTTATCTTTATTTGCAATAAGTTCTTAGCGAATCATGAATACGATAAGTATGTACATACAAACATAATTCTACAATGGGAATTTTCTAACAATATCAAAGAGAAACCAAGTTAGCAATACTATTCCAAGAATCCTGAATAGTCCAATTCATCAATATCTATGAACGGTTATCTACAAGAGGAAATATTGATTGATTCAAATAAGTTTGTAGGGCCCGATTGCATTGAAAGCAAATCCCGTAATAGCAATTCATTGCAATGTTGTATAATACAACACGCTAACCAACTATAAGCCACTAAACCAATTGGACAGATCATAAGCTATGAGTATTAAGCAGAAAGGAGACTGAAATTTCTTGTAAAAACGTATATATACAGCTACGAGCTCCGATAATCTCACTAAGGAACACACGCATCCGTGCACTAGAATAATGAGAGGCGGTGTGGAGGAGTGGCGAAAAATGGCGATGACCTGTCTACAAGACGATCGCCAACAGTAGCAGCGAAAAAGCTGACAAATGTCGTGCGATCGATCGGATAGCTCGCATTGAAAATGTGTTCTCGCGCGCGGGTCGCCCTGATACGATACTCGTAATAAAAGGAGCATTTTGCGTGTCAGTGTAAAGGAATATACAAGAGCGCAAGAATAAAAGAGAAGAGTGCTTGCGAAACGTCACAACAGGACTACTCTCATCTAGGCAAGGCGCACGTTCAAACCTCTGACAATCTTTCTATGCGTTCATTTGCGTTTCCGATATAGATTTTTGTCAAACGTCACATACTTTTGGAGTCTGATCATTTTGTTGTTACTAATGAAAACACGTATTTGTCTTTATTCTTAGATTGAGATATAGGTCGTGGTTAGGTTATGTGCCTGACACTTGCCTCTATGCTAAGAATAGGTTGCACAGATTTTGGAGTTTGATATTGTATGAATGGCATTTGGAGCCATTGTGCTCCAATTCTTATTCCCTATTTGGGAGTCGTTTTTTTTGTTATTTTTTATTGGGTTCAACTTAACTGCGTTTTTGGAAAATGATAGTCGGACAATTTTATAGGCAGATGTCTCCATATTTGGATTGTCAAAGAATTGGATTTAGACTGTCTTACAGCTGTATATAGTAGTGCTATACTGTTGTGTAAGAATAATGAATGTGCTTTGTGTAGTGGATATTTAAAGTAAACAAAGGAATTGTTTTCACTGAATGAATTGGTAATCAGCTGAGATTCTAAATGTATATATCAGCTTTGATTGAAAAAGAAAGAAAGTGGACTATATATATGAATAATAAATAAGCTGTCTACAGAAATATTATTTATATATATTGCGATACAAAAAATCAATACAACTAAAGTATTATGTAATTTTCCTTGATCGTTCAGAGATTGATATTGATAGATATAGATAAAAGTGGATTTATAATAATAATAATTTTACTAAAAGATAATGGAAAGTTACATTAACAAATTTATGAATCTTGTGTTATTATTTTAGGTCCCATAGGGATTAACTACTTCACAATGGATCAAGAAACGGTATATGGTACACACGAGGATAGTCATGTTGTTATGTCTGAGAAAGTGCAATCCCTGGCTGGCAGTATTTATCAAGAATTTGAACGTATGATTGCACGATATGATGAAGATGTCGTTAAGGAACTGATGCCGTTGCTAGTCAATGTTTTGGAGTGTTTGGATATTGCTTATACTGAAAATCAGGAGCATGAAGTCGAGTTGGAGTTATTGAGAGAAGATAATGAACAGTTAATGACACAATATGAAAGGGAGAAACAACTTAGGAAAACATCGGACCAGGTACATCTTGACGAAGAACTAAGCATCTGATACAATATAATCGTTTAGAGGGTTATTGAAAGGATTATATACTAATAAGTAGTACAAAATTAACAAATATGTGTCAATTGTTTTGTTCACATAGAAATTGTTGGAGTTGGAGGATGTGGCAGAAGACGAGAGAAAAGAGCTATTATCGAAAATTGATAGTCTGGAATCGATTGTTCGAATGTTGGAGCTCAAGACAAAAAACTCACACGATCACGGTACAAATGCCAAAGACATCTCCAGTCCATCCTCTCACACAGTCTTCCCTTACAGTAGAGTAGACCGTTTTCTGTTTTCAATTTACATAGCTCATAGCACTTATTTTTTTAAATATAGTTTGGGTTTCAGGGTTTCCAGGTGAAATTTGCATCGGATATGTAGCTTAGATATTGCATGCTTCTGTTTTTTTCATCAGTTTTGCTTTTGTGATTGTTCACTGATACATACTTCAATTCTATAATGAATGACATTGTTTTTCATTTTCCATGAATGTACTACAATGTCAAACAACCACATTTTATATTTTTAGAGTAAATATATATTCACATATGAGAAAGATGCCTCACATTTTTGCATTTATGTTATTCACTAATCTTGTATTGTCTGTATGCCTAACAAAAATATTTTCATTTTTATTTGTCCCTTATATATATTCTACAGTGCTCTTTGTCGATGCATTTTGTTCGGTTTGCCATCCTTAATAAAATTTAGAGCTTAGCGATCAAACACCTTTTTAATATATCTTTCTCTCCTTTTAGTAATCCGCCTCGAAGAAAAAGAGTCAGAACTGAAACGCGAGTATTCCCGACTACACGACCGATATACAGAATTATTCAAAACGCATGTAGACTATATGGAACGCACGAAAATGCTAGTCGGCAGCACAGAAAGATTAGAAAACACAACAGGTGGTCGAGGACCGTCTCGTTTACCATCTCTTGGCCTAGCACACATGTCGCGAAGTTCAGGTCCACTTAGCTACGGTTTTCAGAGTTTAGAAACCAGTATGAATGCGGAAGATCCTCAAGAGGATGGGCCTCTGACAAATGTTGCCAATTTGAGAACCGAAATGCTGGATACCAGCAGTGAAGCTGCCGTTGAAACCTCTGATAAGAGCCAGTTGACTGACCAACCAATGCAAGAAAACAAGACAACCGCCATCTCGAGACGTGAGCCATTAAACATAATTTTTATAATTAATAACAAATATATTTAATAGAGACGTATTTTGGTAAATTCATTTTTCAAACTGGAACTAAATATCATTGATTGTGACGTATAGATGAAAGTCCAGAGACAGAAATGCCACCTCCACTGATAACACCAACAACACCGAACGCCGTTGAAAAATTCGCTACGACGCCAAGTGGACGAAGCAGAACCGAGAAGGAACAAAGAAGTGGAAACACATTATATCAGGAACTCAGCTTTCAGGATGCCGACGCATTGGGAGAGATGGACGAGGGTGCCGACATTACTGGTAATTTTGTCCAAAGATGCAAAATTATTTTTTAATAGCCATTTTGATCTCACAATTTAATCATAACGAAGTTGCGCTTTTACTGTTGATCCTACAACTAAACCCGCGTGACCGTTTTCAATTGCAGGAAGTTGGGTTCACCCTGGAGAGTACGCTTCTTCCGGTATGTTCGAAAAATCCTTTAACAAACATTCGAAATATCAAATGTTTTGTTTGCTAATCGTACAAGAAACGTTCGTTCAACTTTAAGAATATTTAAACAGTTTAAAAAAAATACCTTTCCCTTTTACTGTACGCGATCGTGCGATTTTCTTTTCTTTAAGCCTACGCCCTTGCATGTAAATTACATTTGGCAGAAAGATAATATGCTTTACTTTTTGTATACTGTATGTAGTCTCGGAAAAAATTCTTAGTACTAAACAAAAAAAAAAGAACAGTATAAAACATTTTTCTATCAGTCTGTTTCTCCGTTGAGACTTTTCAATTAAGAAATAAATATGTTTTCAAAGGATCATCTATAATTTTCATTAAAGATTCTCTTTATTAGACGACAAGTATCATTATAGATCCAATGAAACTCAACTTCCCATGTTTAATACACATACATTTTATCTTTTCTAATTTTTAACAATAACAAAAAGTGGTAACTAACTTGTATTTATTTTTGCATTGTTTGCCCTTTTGCTGAAACATCCGTTTACGTGAAATCTTCGTTGAACGATGCATGCAACGAATAACCCATCCGTGCAGTGAATGACAACTTTTTCGGTAAGAGCTTTAATATATCTGTCCTCGATACTCACTTTCTTCGTAACTTTCTTTTCTTGACTTTAATCCATTTTTAATGAAACAAATAAAACACCAGGTAGTTAAGCTAATACATTTTGTTAATAATGAATTAGTCGTATACAGCATTCGCTTTAATTGAATTGACTTTGTATTATCTTTTGATACAATTCTTTATTTTCGCCTCGCTTATACGCTGTAACTTGCTGTAAATGCAACATCGCGAGGTTAATAAATTTCCAATGCGACGCAATTTCATTTAATTGTTTCAAAGGTCGATTGAAATTATTCCATGCACATCTAGACCATTGCTCTTATCAACTATCTATTTTCTTTATAGGTATGGGTAAAGAGGTGGAGAATCTCATTATGGAAAATAATGAGCTCCTAGCTACTAAGTAAGTGACAATTCATTTTCATGATTAATCAATAACTTTTCTTGGGGACGAATAAGATGTTAGTGGATCGATCAATAAAATACTTTTCTTCTAGAAACGCGTTGAACATCGTTAAGGACGATCTTATCGTAAAAGTGGATGAACTCACTGGGTAAGATACAATATCCATTACTGAAATTACAGAACCTAAGCATATTAAACATACTTAATCACAATTCACCAGAGAGCAAGAAATACTTCGAGAGGAAGTACGTGGTCTTCAGCAAGCGAGAGAACGTTTCCGACAGAAGGTGACTGCTCTGGAAGAAGAGTTGAAGAAGGTCAAGGAAGAGGCTGAGGCGGCAGCAAAGGCTACAAAGAGTGACGACGAAGAGGACGTACCACTGGCTCAGAGAAAGAGGTTTACCAGGGTGGAAATGGCGAGGGTGCTCATGGAGAGGAATCAGTACAAAGAGAGATTAATGGAACTCCAGGAGGCTGTGAGATGGACCGAAATGATTCGAGCTTCTAAAACGGATCCAGCCAGTATATCCGGCGGCAAACAATCCGTCTGGAAGTTGTAAGCACCTATCATTGATCCTGAGACGTTGTCCCATCTCCCTCTATCATCTTATCAATTTTCTCTTCTCTTTCAGTTTTAGTAATCTCTTCACAGGCCCAGCAGATCGAGGGGGACTAGTACGTGGACCTCATACTTTACCGCAAATACGATATAGCGCCCCTACCAATCAAGTTGCACCAGCGCCCCCTTTGGACACAATGCGGAGACGAACGCTGAAGAGTCGTCATGACTTTCTTGACCAAGGGGACACCATGTGAGAAATCAATCAACTTATCAATGCACCCAGATAGCGTTGCGTTCATAATTCGTATTGTAGGACTTGCTTGTCCCGTTACAATTTACCTGTTTACGTAGTTTTTTTTATTTATTTATTGATGCACCTTACACGTCTATTGTTATTATCTAGCGAGGTTCGTTGTTTAACTATGGTTACCCTTCTTCGCCAAAAACTTTTTAATCTTACGGTTTAACAATAATGGCTACTTTACGCCAAGTACCTGATGTACGGTGTCGTGGAATTTCGTTATCTTCGTGTGGGATGCAGATGTAATAGTTTTTTAATTCATAAACAGACCGCGATTGTTGTTACTTGTTCGTGATGCCTGGAGACTTATCGATTGTAAATTAATACTTAATCACTTCCTCGGTAGGTGCTCCTTCGTTCAGCATCAGCCGGAGGAAGTAGCGATCGCAGAACAGGCTATCGATACGCTCTCGATGACGCCAAGAAAATCGTGAAAACAAAGATAATAAGAGAGAAAAAGAATTAGAAATTTATGCGTGCATTCACTCTCACTGTTTCTGCCTTCTTTGTTGTTTCAATTTTCAACCGTCTTTGCAGATTAGAGCCATCTTTGGTTAGTTGGGATCCATAACATTACTCGCATCTCACGATTAAAATCATGATCCCATTCGACAGATGTGAGTTCTTTCTGAATAATTAGTGATCTAACTGATTTATATATATGCGTATATATCTTATGTATATGCATATATATATAAGATATTCTCTCAATGTTTTCATCGTTATTATATCGCTAACCCATGGTTGCTCGATCCCTCGTGTCTTTGTAATAATCGCAGTTAAAGCTGCCAAAGATGCACTCGCGCTTGATCTCTCACAGTTTCTGGTATCTGTATCCAAAGTCTCGACATGATATTTCACAGGCAGTACTCTTGTTATTATTTCTCTCTCTTTTTCTCTCTCTCTCTCTCTCTCTCTATTTTCTTTCTCTTCTTTCCCCTGTATCTTATCTGCAACTTGAACCTAACACACTTGTGTTTACTGACGTAAACTTTTTTAATGGGTCGTCGCATTAATGTTGCACCGAGAATCACATTGCTGCTGGCCACAGCAACGTAAATGAAATTAAACAAGTGTGCTGGCACTTAAAAGTTTTTTAACATCATGATACGTACTGGCGGTATTTCGCTACCGCATGCAATTGCGTTTCACTTAAAAAAGAAATTCTGAAACACTCAAGATTTTATAGCACGCGAAGCGCCCACTGATAATTTCTATAATTGCGCTTGGAAGAGTCATTATTTTTGTAAAACGAGCGACGCGCGGAGATCTTTCAAAATCCCTGTTGTGTAAATAAGAATTTGTATATTCCTTCTAGAGATTCTTATACGACTTTATTAATCAGTTAATAAAAAATATTTTAATTAAGTTACGTTGAGCTTTTATTTCATTATTGCGCTTAGCTCTTAGTTCTGTACGGTCTCTTTGCTTGTTATCTCTTCGTAACAGTGTTATAATGATTTCTCAAGAGACTTCCGGCTTCTCTGGTTTTTCATGGGACGCTTGTAAGGCAAAGTTCAGGTAATCTGGGTATGCTTGATTTTGGAAACGCACGTGGACATATCCATCACGTCGAGAGCTACAATGATCTTCTGGTGACCTGATCCGTCCGTACAATTTGGGATCCAACTGTGTTCGCAGGTCCTCTGAGAAACTAGTTGCCAGACGCGCCAATGAGAGAAGAGAACAATATAGACAGGTGAGAGCACACGTGAGAAAGGAAGATGGACGTTTGCAAGCTTATGGCTGGAGTCTACCAGGAAAGCCAAGTGCTCCAGCTAGACAACCCGTGCCAGTTCCTGTATACTGTAGGCCACTTCAGGAAACTGAACCTGGCATGAAGGTGAGTGAAAGGATTTCCGGTTGCTGAAGCTTAGAGGATGTTGGTAAAACTTATTTATCTTCTGAGCAGATATGGTGCGGCGCTGGTGTGAATCTCAGCGGTGGAAAGACCCGGGACGGCGGCAGTATGGTCGGTGGTAGTGTATTTTATGCTGCTGAAGCTCAAGAGAGCAGTAACGCGAAAACGGATACTGAGGATGCTGTGGAGCATCTCGATAAAGAACTCCAGGAGAGTGAGCAGCGTCGTCTAGAGGCTGAGCGTTTAGAGATGCAACTGAGTTCTTTGGTCTGGATCTGCACATCGACGCAGAAAATGTCAAAAGTTACAGTTATAGATGCTAACAATCCTGCTGACATTCTCGAAGCCTTTAATGTATGTCAGAGTCATCTACTGTGCATCGCTAGTGTTCCTGGTGCCAAAGAATGCGATTACCTTCAGATCGCGAATGATAATACCTCTATTGGTGGCACGACCAATGAAACTAATGAAGCTGAGAGCGACAAGAATTATGAGGAAACTGTACCTGTAGAAGGTGTCGCTGTTGACAGTGACACTGTTGACGTTACCAAGAATGCCGAATCTCGTCCTACCGTAGAGACTAAATCAGAGGATAAGAACCCAGAACAACTATCACCAGGAGATCGTACGAGTGACAGTACTGAGAAGACTCAGGATACTGATCCCAACTTAACAAACACTGGTCCACAGAGTCTGGAGAGTGTTGACAGTGAAACTGCCAATCTTGGCAAGGTGCAATTTGTTACAAGCACTCCGGAGCCTTCAACGTTACGTGGTAACGGTGAAAAAGGCAGTACTGTTGACAGTGGTATAATGGTCGATGAAGATTGCACGCCCATCGAGAAGATGTCGTCCATACAACCCACCATGTGGTTAGGAGCCCAGAATGGTGCTGTGTTCGTACATTCAGCTGTGGCAAAATGGTCCGTTTGTCTTCATTCTGTAAGATTAAAAGACGCTGCCCTGGCTATTGTGTAAGTATTAATCGAGCTAATTAACGAATATTCTGTAAATTTTGATAATTTTCTATTATTTGTGTCATCTCTACAGACACGTACAAGGTAGAGTCTTGATCGCCCTGGCAGATGGTACCATTGCGATTTTTCAACGAGGATCGGATGGCCAATGGGATTTATCTCAACATCACATCATAACTTTGGGGAGTCCTCAACATTCGATTAGGTGTATGACTGCAGTAACAGGAAAGACTGTATGGTGTGGATACAGAAACAAGATTCATGTGATAGACCCAATAACGATGACACTGGAGGTAGGGTTTTGAAGTTTTAATTAATAGTATTAGCAGAATTAATACTTTCTGTCGGATTGTAGCGAACGGTAGATGCGCATCCGCGCCGAGAATCCCAGGTCAGGCAATTAGCTTGGCTCGGAGAAGGCGTCTGGGTCAGTATCAGGCTAGACTCCACCTTGAGACTGTATCACGCCCATACCTATCAGCATCTTCAGGACGTGGATATTGAGCCTTACGTCAGCAAGATGCTTGGTACAGGAAAGCTTGGGTTTTCCTTTGTCAGAATTACAGCCTTACTCATCTCATCCAATAGACTGTGGATTGGTACCGGAAATGGTGTCATCATTTCAGTACCTTTATCCGAAAGTAAATTTAATGATTTTTTACTAATTCTAGATTTTAATATGTTACTGTCCCACTAAGGATATTTATTTTCTGCTATAGACGCCGGTGGCTCTATGGCCGTGTCCAGAGTGCAAACCGGAAATAGTAAGTGCGACGCACCGGGAGTCGGAGTTCGAGTGTTTGCTTCTGAACGTGGTGTCACTCCAGGCAGCTTTGTTCCTTACTGTAGCATGGCTCATGCACAACTGAGCTTCCACGGTCACAGAGACGCCGTGAAGATGTTTGTCGCTGTACCAGGTCAGTCCACTATATATATATATATACTCTAATAAAGTGTTCAAGTTCATTCAGTACATACCACAAATAAATTGAATCATCCGATCACCACGTAATCTCCGACTTCAAAATCCGCAAAAATATTTTACATTCAAGCATATATTCATCAGATTTTGCATACAGCAACACAATATTGAATACAAAATTATAATTCATCAGTATATTTATAGATTGCCCCCTGGCCTGCTTATATACCCATGTACAAGAATATTTCCACCTTTCCCGGTTTCAGGTCAAGGAGGTCAAAGCGCAGTTTCAGATGGTTCTCAACCAGCAATGCTGGTCCTATCAGGAGGCGAGGGTTACATTGATTTCCGAATTGGTAACTATCAAATAAAATCATAATATCCTTGCACATTCGTAATTTAGCTAGTTATCTAGTTCAGTAGAGTACAGTAGTCCTGTAGTGGCCAATTCGTTTAGATGGCCATGCTGATAAAGGGTCGCGTGATAAGGTTGATTATGGGATTAAATTATTGAAAGATCTTTCAGAAGTCTTATAGCATACATTATACCGGTGACCGCTTCGTCAAGACAGATAATCCCTACATCGTGAGAAGCTAATAATTGCACTAGGTATAGAGATGACCCCCCTTACACCCCACCCAAACCCTTTGGGCTTTTGTGCTCCATCTGTTTCGAATTAGCTGGTATCAATCTTGGGGGTGATTGGCGATTGATAATTTCAGTGGAGGAGGCGGAGGACGAGAGCGACGTGGCGACCCACCTGATTGTGTGGCAGATGGTCAGGTACGCCCCCGGAGAGTAGTAGGAAGAGCTCGATTCATTCTCATTCAGCCCTTTAAACTAAATTGCTAATACTGACTAACCCCTAGGTCAAAATCATATACCATCATATCCTATTGACATTATGCATAAGTACTAACTGATTCCGGTGTATTGATACAGTAGATAATCATTGATGAACCTTTTTATTAAGTTGCTGAGGGTCGCACGTATTAACCAATTAGTTAAAGTAGATAGAATATCTAACCGGTGTAAGAATGATGGTCCTTCATAGAAAATTCTTGATATACTCCATTAATGAATACTGACTGTTTACGCACCTGAATAAAAATTATTGATGCTGTACAGCACATTGTCAGAGTGACAACCAACGAGACTGTTCAATTGTATCCGCTTTGTATAAATGCCTTGATCTTTGAAATATTGTTTTACTGTAATAAGATAATAATCACAATTTCATATTTGTCTGTGCAAAAGATCATGGCAGAGAATAATAATATTCAAAATTATCATCGTGGTCGCACCAGCACATGATCTTCCTACGTTTTCTTTGCTCTCTGGGGGGTGAAAAGCTTCCAGCTGGTATTCTGCATACGCGTTGTAAAAAATTAAAAGGGCTGTCCAACACTGCACCCTTTCCTGCTAAAACATCCACGACTATCTGGATCTACATTGATTATCTACACTTGACTATCTTGATCTGGTAGTGCCTATAGACACTGTAGAAATTACAACCAGAACTCATTGCTCGTCTATTACAGGTGACGGAGACGAGGCCGAGGATGGAATGGATCGTTCGAACGCTGCAGCTGCGGTAGCCGCTGCTGCAGCTGTGGCAGCTGCGTCAGGAACCGAAGAACATGGCGAACAGTCTCATCTTATAGTTTGGCAAGTGCAGTGCCCATTGCCAGCACCCAGCTCTACCTAGTTTCGTCCACGCGAAGATGCAGATCTTAGTTCAATCTCGATGCAGAAGCCTCGAGTATTACTCAGCATCGCAAGGAGTGTCAGTGACCTTCGACCTGGATGAGCTCAGCCGGCCAGTGTCCTGAGAAGCAAATCTACGCGTACTAACCTAGAGACTATTTCAGTGTAAAATTATAATATGCAATGATCGCAGCTGCCGGAGATCTTTTCACGTCGCAAGATCACTTCAAGCGTTTTCATGGAAGGCGACAAACTTAAATTGATCCTCTAACTGGTTTCATGGTTAATTTAGTGGTGCTAATCGAGTGGTTTCTTGTCGCCCTTGCAATCAAGTAACCTCGACCTTGACCACGAGAATTCGGTGAGGACATCTTACTGCTGCAGTTGGGTCACCAGGAACAACGTTCACCGATACGCATCCATGAAAATTTATTGTCGACTGCTTGCTTAACGCGCATGACTTTCGCTTGATTATACAATCGTATAGAGGCGCGGTATAAAATATTATAGCGAAGCATTATAATCGTTTGGCGTACCTTTTGTTGTGCTAGTGATCATAATGGGTAGATCATAATGGCTAGACATTTAATTGATTGGCGTTGAGCGCTGAGGCGCTTTAACCTAATACATATTTCAATTTGTGGCGAGCATCTGTTTTTAACGAGAACACAATCAAGAAGCAATTGCAGGACGACGCAATTTTCTGGCTAAATTTGATTTTATTTGATCGAGTTCAGACTACAATTGTCACTAAAATATTATCAGGATTCACGTTTAACGATGGATATTGGATTATCAGGATTGCATTTGAGGGCTGTATTAATTTCGAATGGTCATTGGAGGTCCTTAGATTATTGTTATTACTGCTATTATTATTAATATTATTATTGTAATACGCTCACGTTCATGGCTCACCCTACGTCGGTCGTAATCCTGGTCGCAGATTTGCGCAATCCTAATGGGTATCATCGACCTGCGCCTAGCAATCCCTTCTGTTATAGCTAATTAAAATCTGGGTAATCGCATAGGCTCGATATTTAATGATTATTGAAGCCGCTGATATTTGTAAATAGCGTGACATTGTCAATCAGCGACTATAATATAAGATAATTTTGATTTAAAGATTTTGGGATGCGTACGCAAGCGACAATTAAAAATTCATTTTTCCCAATTATCTTTCCCTTTATCTTCTCTTTTACCAAAGATAAGGATTCATTATATATTGTTTATATAACTCGTAGCTGAATGGCTCCCGCAAATTCTACGTAGGTACTTGTATTTTTGACTCGCAACGGTCGCAGATCACATTCATGATCCAACGTCGAGATCGAGCATAGAATAATTGTACCTAGCTTGGGTGGAGCTGTAGTGGCATTAATAAAGACAATTATGGAGATAAAATTGTACGAGATAACCTTTTTCCCAATATTTGGTCCGTTCGTGCAAGCGTTATGACGTGCTTCGGAGAACTGTACGTGTGTTCGGAAATGAGCCAGGAGCATGTTTTGTCTCGATCAAAAGCATGCAATTAACAGAGAAGCAATAATGCACCCTTCGCTCTCGGCTCATTTTCGAACACACCTAAAGTGCTCCGGAGAACATAAAAACGCTTGCACGAATAGACCTAATTAGTACTTTTTGCGTGACAAATTAGAAAAAAAAACAATAGAGTACCGGTGGCAAGAACATGACAATTTTATTATTCAGAGATAACAGAGCTGTATTCAATTGACACGATGAGTTCTGTTTATACGTTCATATAAAAGTCGATTACCATTTATCAGCTGTAATAAGTTTTTTACGGCTATTGCAGATATATCATTAGAAGAGCAAGGATGATAATAATATTTTGCAATATATACCTAGATCTGTTCCAGCAATACGCGCCGTATATGAAAAGTAAAAAGCGTGAAGCTATTGAGTATAATTATTGTTTAGAAAATTAATTATTACTAGCGACTCACGATATAAAATTCTTAGATCTTTTTTTTTAGGTTATATCATCGCGCAATGACTTTACACGGGGTAAAAGTAATATTATGAAAAGATTAGCAAAATCGTCATTCGGAACAATATTGCGTGTCTCATGGAACTCACAAATGTCCACGGTATGTACAACTTCTCCATATCAGCTGGTTGGTCGATCCCACCGAGAACTATTGCGTATCAACGCCGATAAAAGGCTGCGGCAATCCAGCAACTTGACTTGTTCGACGAGTCATACGCCGCAGCGCTTACTCGACGTAGCAGGACACAATACAAACGTGAAGGTTCTTCGTGACAGTTCGGATTCTTGCAAGAAACGAAGCAAAATGGATCGAGATCCAGCATCCGACCAATTAAAAAAATACAAGGAAAAAATGGAGGTACAAACTTTATAAATATAATATATATATATATAAAAAATGCTACATTTATTATTTTTATTGAAATGCATTTTGCCGGCTAACGATATCAAAATCGATGCCGTAATTTAAATAAAGAAACAAAAATACATTTTCTAATGCACACGTTAGTTCCAACGTACATTTCATTTATGTTACGCCAATGCACCAGTTGATACACAAATAAGCGACACGTTCCAAGAAACTTGTCCGGGAATCGTCCTACTCTGTGCTTAATAGTGTTTCATATTAACTGTCTTCTTTGAATTTTCTCTTTCTGAGAAAGCATTCCTTCTCTTTTTCTGTTACTGATGCCCTGTAGAAAACTTCTGACGGAGAGAATTTCCGTCAATTTATTATTACAGGGCTGTGCGATTAAGGAATACTGGAGAAACGACTACTGTGCAACTTTCTCTGTTTTGTTTTGCATTCTCGTTTGGCAATATATCATTCGCTCGTATCGGTTGCATATTTGGTATTTTTATTTGATCAATCACTCATATAAATGGAACCTATTGGCCCCTCAGATTTATATTTGAATTTTATAATATACGTTTATAATCAGTCTTAATTTCTCCTTAGACAGCAGACTCTTCTTGACTAGCACAATTCTCAAAAGACTCGATAGTGCCTTGCGCTAAGTATTTTCCTATGCTGCGCTTCATACCAGTGAAAGGCAATACAGCTGCCGATATTTGAATATCGACGCCATTGCGTCTGCATCCACACGACTATGTATATATATATTTTTTGCTGGGGGATACTTTGGGGACGACTTCATGTACGAAGCCGTTATGTTGAGGACAAGCTGATGAATGTTTTAAAGACCATAAGCGGACTGTCTCACCAAATTTCTTTATATTTTTTTCAATGTTACGCATCCAGTATTTGTGATGAACTTAGAAATGATTTATTAGGTTAGATTAGGTCAGAAATCCAATGCTGTGATGTCCCAAGGTAGTAGTTTTAAAAAAATATTAGCTAGCTATTGAACGCCCCTTCATTTTTCGTGAACCCAATGTTCTCTTTGGCAAACGTGTGAATATATATATATAACCGCAATGGGATACGTAAACAAGTCGGGCCTAAAATTCTTAAAAGTTTCCATAGCATCATTGTCTCTTAGGTTAAAAAGCAGATGAAGGTTCTTTATCTGCTTTGCAGTCGTGTATCTATGCCTGTTACTACAGAGTCTGGGAAAATTCATATTCTCATTTGTAAAGAATTTAAATTGACATTTCTACCGATGAGATACTCGTTGCAATTGGTACAATCATTTGGAGTTCGTAAGGCGCAATTTTTAATTCCAAGTATAAACATCTTGCCGATCATGCTGAATCATTCCCGATGTAGCCGCTGTATGTTGGCAATTAAATATTGATTATGTTCGGGTGCACACGGACCCAATATCTATTTATGCATTTCCGTGCATATGAATCCATCAACTTTGCTCCACGGCGATTTCCGTTTGCACGTGCACTGATATACATGCTTAGATATCGAATCTAGTTGGATGCGCATGTAGCGAATGGACGGCCGGAAAATATCAATTTACATAATTAAAGAAAAAAAGAGCCTGTTTTTTTTTTCGATTTCCTTTATTATCGCGTGCAGAATTTACTATGTTGTGTGTATGATAAAAAAATACGTTTGTGGGGCATATGTAGATATACTGAAATTGCATTCAGCCACAATACATGAGTATCCACCGACTAATCATGTTGATATACGATAAAGATTAAAAATCGAGTCAAAAAGGGGGTCAGGGCTCACTGTTATTGATTATGTAAGACTACGCGAAATATTGTTAGCAGAAATCTCGATCAGTACCGACTGTAGGTGAAAGTCTATGAGAGTAACGTAAATGTTGGTACGCGTTGAGGTAGACACTGATCAAGAATTTTTTTATTTGAGAAATTGATAATTTCCAAAAAAAATTTTAAATTATTAAGTAATCGTAAACACAACTGCACCTGCATAATTAATTATGCTCCTCAAAGTGCACTCTGATTCACGTATTACTCCACGTATTAATTATTTTTGTATTTTTCACTCGCACGGATTTTTCTGCGCACAATTTTTCAGCACAAAAAATCGCCGGATTCGCAGATTGCAACAAATCTATTCGGTCAAACTAACCGCAAGGTATGTTAGTTCACATGGATGGAAAAGGCGATAGCTTTCGTGACTTAGAGATGGCAATAATACACAGTTGAATTAGCTTTGATACGCTTTTGTAAAAAAATTGGTGCGGAAAGGCTTTTTGAAATTTTTTTTACAATTTGGTCCTATCCCGTAGTAAAAGATTTTTTTTTTTATTTAATACCCATAATTCTTCCTGGTCTCTGCTAAAGATAATTATTAATTATAATGTGGATTATTAAATGATTTTTGAAAATGTTCATATTTCAGGGAGAACCACCTGTACTCCTGACTGGAGCTGGAAATCCAATTGCCAATAAAATGGCTTCTCTTACCGTTGGTCCCAGAGGACCTATACTTTTGCAAGACAGTGTATTTATTGATGAGTTATCACACTTTTCAAGAGAAAGAATACCGGAGCGTGTAGTGCATGCGAAAGGAGCTGGTAAAGACGAATATTTAAATATTTTTTTTATCAGTAGATACAGAATAATATATCAAGGTAGTTGCAAAGTAAGTGACGATTACAGGGTCATGAATATAATAACAATTCCTTGCATCGATAAATAATATTTATTAGAAATCTTAGGCATCCGGTCATCTTATCATAATATGTATTTTAAGCCTTGATAATTTCATGCTAATGTAGTTTATTTTTTTTCATGGGATGTTGAAAACGTTTAAGCAGTGAAGTAATCTTTGTTTTAATTTTTTTAGGTGCTTTTGGTTATTTTGAAGTTACGCATAATATCAGCAAGTATTCGAAGGCCAAGGTTTTTGCTGGAGTGGGTAAAAGAACGCCAATTGCAGTGAGATTTTCCACTGTGGGAGGCGAGAGTGGATCCGCCGATACTGTTAGGTAATTTAATCATTTTTAATGATATTACATTTTTCAAAGAAAAGCGTCAATTTTTCTTGAAGAATTCGATAGTTACAGGGAAACGAAAAGTTTTCGTTCGATTATGAATTTCTCGAGAAAACAATAAATTTCAAACTTTTTAAAGCAAGAGGGAAGTTGTTCGAATGGATTATATTATGGTTGGGATATTTGTGTTATCAATGTAACAAAACAAAACTCCCATTGCTGATAACGATTTATCTTCTAAGACGTGAACAACGAATTACGTATATAATTGATTACTGAACGATTGTGGAGGCTGCTATTGCATAACGGAATATATTTAGAATAATCCAAAATATATGAAATCCTTGAAATTCTAGAGATCCACGTGGATTCGCTGTGAAGTTTTACACCGAGGAAGGAATCTGGGATTTGGTTGGCAATAACACGCCAATTTTCTTTATAAAAGATCCTCTTTTCTTCCCAAGCTTCATTCACACGCAAAAAAGAAATCCAGTCACACATTTAAAGGTACGACAAAAGTCAAATAGAGCATTTTGCAATTAAACCAGCAATATAACGTTACTCATTCTGAAAATTCACGCTTTTACAGGTATGACAAAAGTCAAATAGAGCAATTTGTCATGAGACCAGCAACACAATGCTGCTCATTCAGAAAACAGTAACAATACTATTTTTGCACATAGTAATAAGAATAATGGCTATTCAGCAGAGTTTCATAATGGCAATTCCAAGATAATATTTGCGTTGCGCAAGAGAAAAGAAGTTGCCATCATTAGCACAATCGTACAGAAGCTTGCGTAACGGATCAGCAATATTGCTGTTGAAAAAAAAACTTTCTTGAATCACATATACAATTATATTTATGATAATCAGATTTAAAAGATTTTCATAATTTTCAGGATCCCGACATGTTCTGGGATTTTCTTTCTCTGCGACCGGAAAGTCTTCATCAGGTTCTTTTCCTCTTTGCCGACCGTGGTATTCCTGATGGATATCGTCACATGAATGGTTACGGCTCGCATACTTTTAAACTCGTTAACGATCGCAACGAGATGGTCTACTGCAAGTTTCACTACAAGGTAGAGTTGGTGGAATGATTAGTTTTGAAAAGCAACAGTCTCATTTTTGCAAATTCTTTTAGACCGACCAAGGAATTAAAAATCTATTAGCTCAAAAGGCAGCTGATTTGAGTAGCACGGACCCGGATTATTCTATTCGAGATCTATACAATGCCATTGCCCAAGGTCAAAATCCATCCTGGACTTTCAGCATCCAAGTGATGACACCCAAGCAGGCTGAAACCTTCAGATGGAATCCGTTTGACCTGACTAAGGTAACTTTATCCAAAATCTGCATTAGGTCCAAACTCAATTACTTTTATATGAACAGATATGGCCGCATAAGGAGTTCCCATTGATTCCTGTGGGACGTTTGGTCCTGAATAGAAATCCTGAGAATTATTTCATGGACGTGGAGCAAGTAGCATTTAATCCTGCCCACATGGTACCTGGAATCGAACCCAGTCCTGACAAAATGCTTCAAGGTCGGCTCTTTGCCTATGGCGACACTCATAGACACCGTTTGGGAGCGAATTACCTGCAGTTACCAGTCAACTGTCCCTACAAGGTAATGAAGATAATATTAAATATATTATTGATTTTAATAATAATTATGCAATTATTCATTACCAGGTGATGTCAGCAATGAATTATCAACGTGACGGTCCGATGGCATATCATAATCAAAACGGCGCGCCAAATTATTATCCAAATAGCTTTGGCGGACCTAAGGAGTGTCCTGCTGCTCTTGCACCTAGTTTCCAAGTAAGCGGCGACATCGATCGGTACGAGCCTGTCAATGAGGATAATTACACCCAGGCTACGGAATTTTGGCGTAACGTTCTCGATGCTGACGCCAAGACAAGACTGGTCGATAATATAGTGGATCATATTCGACATGCTTCGAATTTCATAATTGAACGTGCCCTTAAGCAGTTTATCAAAGTCGATGCTGATCTTGGCAGGAGACTCACTGAGGGCCTGCGGAAATATGGAAAGGCTACTGGTTTTTCTGCAAACTTATAATTAATTTAATTACGGATAAATCAAACATTTGTAACTTGGATGTTTTATTTTTTTCTCTCAAATATTATATTAAGTGTGATTCACGTGATCCTTGTATTTCATTGTCGTTGACTTTGAAATGTTTGAAAATTATTAAATATACATTGTTACTATTTTCATATAATAAAGCATTACCTTGTAAAATCTTATTCCCTTGGATAGCCTGTAACGAAAAATCCTGCTGTCTGTATTGAAGTAAGAAATTGATTCTTTTACTTGAAAAAGAAGGAATAATCTGGTAATCGCTTTAACGGTAGTCTTGTGAGAAGTTTCTAAGTGGAATACGTGACATCGCGTAAAGTCTTGCGGATTACTAGTATTTCTTATAATATACCAGATGGGCGAAAGACCGAAGGATAATGGAAATTGTAGAGTTTAATAAGATTAGACGGGTATTACGCACAGTGTCGCTAAGACGTGGGGAAACTGAAGGTTCATTTCATGAATGACAATTAGCCAAGGAATTTTTTTTGTCAACCTAAAACCTTATCATACAAGATTATTAATTAGTTCGTTAAGTTTTTAAATGAAAAATTGTAAACATTAATTTTTCTATTTCCTTTTTTTAGACCCATAATTTCCTATCCCTCAACAGATACCTCGGTATACATGGTAGAATAAATCCCTCTAAATTATTTACGTCCTCATTAAATAAGAATGCAACCATATTACCATGAGAAATTGGTCAAACAAAATGGTTGACGGGCATATACCATACTGTACTGTACTAGTTAGTTGGATAGAACAATAATAAAAAATATCGATAATGAAATATACTATAGTGACTCATTCCCTACGTGCTTACTAAACAGTTCGATATTTTTGGCATGTATAGATGTGTACACATAGAAAAAAAATATACTATTAAAATTTATGACGTGTAATACAAATCCCGCGGATAGAACGTACATTTCAACAGGTATTCAATGGAGTATAGCTCTTTTGTACGTACAGAGAGACTAGTATACAAAGACGCGAATGACGCATATAAGAAATTTGTCATATGATAAATATGAAATTTCTTTTTATAAACAGGGGAAGTACTCTAACATTCTGAGATAAAGTGTTAAGGAAATCCCCGCTTAATAGTGCAGTGTATATAAAACGACAGCGAAGAAAGCTGGCATCAGTTCTTCAAGTGACAGTCACGTACCTTAATTCAAGTACTTATTAATTATAAGCAAGATGAAGATCTGCTTGGTCGCTCTTGTCGTAGCAGTTGCGGTGGTTTATGTTTCCTCGACTCCTCTGCCAGGTTTGTAGATCAAATCACTTAATGATTCTCACGAGTTACCATGATATATATCAAGGTTGACCAAAATTGTAGATAATTTTGAAGACGTCGTCGAAGAAGCACGTGGTGAAAGACACCGAAGAGTGACATGTGACTTGTTGTCCTTTGGTGGTAAGGTTGGTGACTCTGCTTGTGCTGCCAATTGTTTGAGCATGGGAAAAGCTGGTGGACGTTGTAACGGTGGAGTCTGTCAATGCCGAAAGTAAGATTATTCTAAATCATTTAATGAATAATCGTATACGATATTCTAATTATTATTTTCATTCCAGGACAACCTTCGCGGAGCTCTGGAACAGACGTTTTGGATAATGATTTTGAAAATGAAAATATTTTTTTTTCAAATTTAATGTTTGACCGGAACGTTTAAAAATTTTCTCAACCCTCGTAGTATTTCTCAGTAGGTTAATGATAATGAGTGTAATCTTTAACTGGACTTATATTATTTTTAAGAGAACAACACATCTTCATCTCTCTTTTTGCCGTTTACAATAAGTTTCAATATTTTTCGACTTAAAAACGTTCAGAGATAGTCGTTTTTACATTTTTGTTGTCTTTTGTCACCATCTCATATTTTTATAATCGTTTACTTCAAAACTGTTAAAAATGTTATCTCCTGAGTATTTTAATCTATATTTTAATGACAAATGCGATTTTTATTATTATTTTTTGGTAATCTTAAGTAAAACGTTATCGGTAAATGATTGCATAACTAAAAGGAGTCACACGATTTCCAACAATTATCATACATGCATTATAAAATTGATATCTGTTATTCTATCACATGCCTGACGTCTTATACTTTTTCTCCTTATTTTGTGACATGTACTATGTTATTTTGTTTCAATAAATTTTTATAACTTTAAAATTTCATATAAGCACCTATCACTGTACATTATCGCTTAAGCTCTCAAAATGTAATTATGTAGTACGTGCTATATCGTTAATAAGCTTCTCCTCGAAAATCAATATCATTACGATACATAATATACTGCATAAAACAATACACACGCAAAAACCTATCCACACGGTTATCCATGCAAGTACACATCGGAAAGCCAATATGCTTTGTGCACAGTTCGCGATTAAAAGGTCGAGGGTTCGCGATGTTTTCGACTGCCAATGATTGGAAACTTCCTGTTTGGTGTGGGTTTGAATCGAATTACTGAATAATCCCGTTCCGCATAGTAGAGAATCTATGGGAATATCCTTGTAGCTACTACGTATAGATATATTACTGTACGAACGATACGTCCTCCATCTCTCTCGGTCTCTGGCTTTAATTAAAATCGAACACTCGTACGCAGCAGGAAGCCCGGGATGAATGTTGAATTAAAAGAGTCTCGAATTCATTTCTCCTCCTCCTTTCCTTTTCTTCGATGTGCGGCTGGATCTCCGTATGTTTCAGCGTATGCAGAGACGGGCTCTAATTAGCGTTCTTACAACTGAGCAGACATCCAAAAGCCTTTCGCCACTCGCGCACCGTAGCGTTAAAGCCGCTAACCTCGTTAACGGAGGCAGCAGTCTTCTCTTCAAAGAAAGATAATTCGCCATGGAGATAAAAATGGAATAAGAAGAAATGCATTAAGAGTGGTCTTTGAGTAATAAATATCATTCAAATAAAACAGTAACATAACGTACCATCTGAATTATATATTTTTCATATCCCGTACTATAAGATAACTTCAAATTAGACGAAGTATTTTTATTCTATGGAAAACTTAGGGATACTGGATTCCTCAATCATTAGATTCCCTAGTAATCCATAAATTTTGTGAAAATCCCGTAAGGACCGGCCCCATTGTGTTGCCATAGACTAAGAAGTTATCTAAAGAGCAGAGAGACAGAAAGTTCTTACGTTACTCGACAGGTAGCGCCAACGTCTTAAGGTTTTTCACCGCGAAGTCACATAGGCGGTTGTAGGACTCGATCGATATTATTCCAATGCAAATACGAACACTTCCGAATTCATCCGAAGTACCGTCCTGTAGGAGATAGCACGGAATCCATGGGCCGAATACAATTTTCCGTATCTGAATAAATTTTCTGACTGAACACTACACGATCGTAGCGCCATATGAAGTTGGTACGAACTATAAAGCCCAGGATCAATTTGTACTGTTCATTGGTAGATTAGAATCAGTATAAACGTTTCAGTTCTATCTCTCATGTGATCGTCGCCTCCCAGGATAACACAGTGGATACTCTACAGCGTCCCTCGTATGTACCAGAAACGGGTCGTTACCGCGAGCAGGCTCTACATAATTTGCCCTGGGATATCGCTATTAGAGTTCCTAGTTCCTAGTTGCTGAAGGTAGGTCAGGACATAATCTAATTTCATCATTAATGTACGCGTCAGCCATAGCCTTTTGCATTGGTCTCCTTTGTTCTACCTTATATATATCTATATACATATGTGGCAGCAGCTATATAATACATATTATGTAATTTTACTATGATAGATAAAGATGAGTAGAAACTATAATTTCAATGAATGAGATCATTCGCATACAGAGGACTAGACCTATAACAGGCCTGGTACGCTATTTCTGGCGAATAGGCCTTAAAGACCAGGGACTAATCGGTTACCGGTTTTCTCTTGAAAGAACATTAAATTGTTATGCGTCGACCCGGAAAAGGGAGCTCATCTAGTCCAGTTTCCATTTTGATCCAGATGCCACCCTCTCGACCTCCTGAACTGAACGAGTTTCCGTAATTTGATCGCAATTTCGTAAATTACGTCCTAACCTTTCTTTTTTCAAAATTTCAGTATTAACATCATGATCCTTCCAAGAAAGAGAATCAAACGATTTCCTTTGATCCTGTCTGGTTTGCGGGAGATTATAAATTCTTGCAACGGGAAACGATTATTTTTCACTGCATCACTGCGTTATGGTCAGTAGATTGGATGGTATAATATATAAATTTAAATTTTGATTAAATCCAATATTTTACAATGGCCCTAGGATGATTTTTTTTCTTAACTTTTATTGAGATTAAAAATACATATAACCGATGCACAGTAGACTCGACTTTGTATAGTATCAAATATTTCTTTTTTAATAATAAAGGGAAGCGTAAAATAAAACGAGCACAGGATTGCGCTTCGTTGAGCTTGCCATAGTTGCTACGTTATATTACATCACTTTGTACATAGTTACTAATTAGTTACATTCAAAGCCCTGCTCCACGAAGGGTCGCCGTTGGCGCCGGGCGTCGTTGGTTGCTGCTGGCTGCTGCAACGTCGGAAAGTTGAAACGCATTTTTTTCGCAAGGAAAACCAGTGGCGTAGCAAAACCTTTTCCATGATACTGCATAGTCGTAGGTACAAATATAATGTACATCGTAAACTGGTACAACCTAACCCTTACGCCCAAACTCAGTATCTGCCGGAAACCTGGTCCTACCACCTGGCTTTATAAACTTTCCAGCTTTCATGCTTTTATTTAGCAATTTCCTTTTCACCGGGGGAACATATTACCCAGGGACCAAACGTGAAATTCACTGTAGGAACGAAACGTTAATATTGCCAAAGCTTTTCCACCGGTTTCCCATCCGTTACGTTGGAACCACTTAAATTCATGATATCCCGTTATGCCCTTAAAGATTTATGAATTCCGTCAAGACTACCATATTTTTTTCCAATAAATTATTTATCATTTAACATTTTTAAATATATTTCTTTATATTTTTAAACAGTGTCATATACCATCAACCAGACACCTGACTAAATAAAAAGGGTTAAAACCTCTTTATCTCTCTCTCTCTCTCTCTCTCTCTCCTTTATTCTTCTCTCCCGTGTTCTCAGTGCTCGAAAAGAAAAGATGGACGAAGATATACAAGAAGAGTCTTTCGAGTCTAAGGAAAGTTGAAGCACCAGACGATGAAATCGGGAGGATGCTAGCTCTTTAATTAAAATCTACCTCGATCTGCTTACCAGTGCTGCCAACCATCCTTCCTGAGTCTAGCTGCCCGATTACGGATTAAAACAGTTGGGCGAGCGAATTGGATGACTCAACTGTCCTCGGACGGACGTTCCATCCAGAATAGACATATTTGCATAAGGTCAGTGGCTCCTCCTCTATCAAGAATTATGTTATACTTTAATTTAATAATATATATATATATATATATACACACAACCAATTCTTATCTATTGTCCAAGTTTTTAACCAGGTCACGCAGTCTTCCATCACCCGGGTTACGCAATTCATGTTCCTATTTAGGTGCCTATCTGTCTTCGTGCCTGGGACTACCTTAGCCGTCCTTGCCAGACGCGTTCTGGTATACGCACTTAAGTATCCCAGTTAGGCCGTCTAATCGAATCAGGAATGGTGACAATAATGCCTACGGCCAGGACTGAACTGCTTTCCCGACGGAAGTGTATCGCTCTCCTGACATTATACGGTTATGTAATTCTCTTGATACACGTAGTAGCCATAAAGCCAAAGATAGATACAAGTGAAAATGAACATTTAAGGAAGCGCTCTTGTGCTCGTAAGAAAATATAAATTTCTTAACGATTTTTTTTTTTTATAAAATCACCGAAAAGGAGGTCGCCAATAAAAATGGCGGGTTCGAGAAGAGAGAAGAAAGCTTGAAAATTATCAACCTCTCCATATCTATAGGCACTTCCGTTCTTGTTAGGGCTGTAAAGAGGGGATTCTCGTACCGGAAGTGAGTAGAATGTTCGCTCGTTGCTTCGAGACAATACCCAAGAGAAATATAGAAATCGAGGCCTTTCTTTACTTTCCCATTAAGAGTCAAGAGTAACGCGTCCTCTTTATATGCATTGATAAGACTTTTGCTTTTGGAATGCAAGTTGCACCGGCAACGTGCACCCTTTTTAGTGTGAGGGTTGAAAAAAAAAAGAAAGTGCGAAAAGAAATATCCATCTCGGATTCATATCCGGTGTGTATACGCACACACGTAAAGTTCTGTGCTTTCTGCTTTTTCTTTCTTTTTCTCTCTCTTTCAAACTGTCATACGCTCTCTCGCTGGCAGCTGCTAGCCAACTCCTGGGTTACGTAGCAGACACGTACTTTTATTCAGACCTCCCGCTACATATAGTCTCTCCCTCTCACCTCACCTTCCCTCGCTCGTTCTCTCTCTCTCTCTCTCACTCATATTTTACACACGCATTGTCCCTCAGCCGACAATGTCTCCCTGATTAGGGAGTCTCGTCGCCGCTACGAGTTCTGCAGGCGCTGCTAACGATTCCTTTCTCTTAGTTGCAGCCATTTTGAGTGGACCAAATACGAGTTAATTATCAGTAAAAAAAAATGTGTCAACCATATTTTTTTTCTTTACAAATTACCGAATTTCAATATTCTCTTATCACGCGTACCTTGTATCTTGGTAATATGAATTCAACATGGATTATATATATATATATTTGTATGTGATTCTTGGCTTTCTGTTAGAATAGGAAATTCACAAAATCGTCTACGGTACAATGGAAGCTAAAAGTTTTCAAGTTTTGTCTGCGTACTGCAAATATTTGCTGCTTTGGTACGAGCGACGCAACTGCACGGAGCAACGGGCTGAATTTAAACGTCGAGAAGAATGCCGACTACGTACGAGGCACGAGGGATGCGATGTAGTCGAGGCGGCTTTTCAACTGGTCTCTTTCTACGGTCGAGCGACGTCCCGTAAGTAAGATCGCTTCGTGCAAATTCGCTTGGATGTTTTCCGGAGAGGAAAACTCTATGGATTTATGTATCCACGTGAGTGTATATATATATAGTTGTATATACCATAGACATACCATGTCTATCCCACCGTTTGAACGATACGGAAAAATGTCATCGTTACGTTAAATATGTATTTTTGAATAATTTTCTAAATTATTTATATAACAAATATGAAACGTAAAATAATCCTTTGAAAATATTTTTAGCCCTTTAATGAATTTGAGTCATCGTCATCGATTTGTCAATCGATATTCCGATGGCGGCCATCAACGGTGCACCACGATTTTGAATTCCTAAGCACAGCATCAATATCGAACCGAATCGTCCAGACTCTTTTGATACTCTTCTCATCTTCCCAAGACGGATGAGGCTGGACCACTTTTGTCATTACTTCACGTCTTGCCAAACGTCCTACCTTGGCTCGACTATCATTTATCATGTTTCATGAGTAAAACTCACTCGTGACAGTGAAGCGGTGAAGATCGGTCGAATGAATGAACGAATGAATGTACCTTTATTTGCCCTAGGACACGGAGTACCTTAAAGGGTACCTGATGGAACAGCAAGCGGAGAATCAATCAAATTAAAGTCAACAATATTATGGAACTATAACAGAGCAAAGTATATATACATATACCATATATAAAACAAATATATATATATAGATATTCAAAGAAAGTAAAAAATTCAAACAATTTAAAACGTATAACTTATACAACATGCAAAATTACATTCGAATCAAACTGTTCTAATTGGCATATATGCCAAGATGCCTTGATGTATATATATGTATATATATATATATATATATATATATATATATATATATGTATACATATATATACACACGTATATTCAGCCACTTCTTACGTCACTTAGCAAAGTCTTCAGAGATTGTTCAACTGTTTCGTGTTCCCTAAAGGATGACGTGCTATATCTTCGCCAACTCGTCTTTGCGTCTTACTTTAGCGAAGGGCTAGCAGGCTCCGTTCCCGTCGGGTCGATCTCGCCTGTAATAAAGCTAATTACGACTGAGGCATCTTCATCTTCGTCTTCCGTCTTCTGTACCGTTCGAATCGACGCCTTCGGCGTCCCTACGTTAGTTACCAAATATTAGCCAACGCCCTTCTGTATCATAATACCAAAACTTTGATGCCCGTAGACGAGCGTTAAACGGGGACAAGAAAGTCCCCATGTAATCGTAACTTTCCATGCATGACGTCAGATATAACAAAATTGCTGGTTTAAATATTTTTTAAATATTATCCATTAGCGACGAGGAGTATACGTACCGGGTGGCAATACATCGAGGGATCATTTATATTCTTCATATTAATATCGCCTGAACCTCTATATATATATTTGTGTATATTAATATATGTATATGCTTATATATAGCCCTGCAGTATATACTATATACCTTGGAAGTTAATATTGCTGAATTTTGGCGACAGATGGTGCTAAACGGGCAACCACCCCTCTCAGGCTATTGAGCCTGTCAAGTTGAGCCCTGAAGGGGTGGGTATTAGTATCGGTATTGGGCATCGAGAGGCTCCGCTTCAAATCTCAATTGTATGCCGATACCGCTCGAAAAAAATATTTGAACCCTTGATTGCACTGGGCGAAATGGTCAAAGGGGGGTAGATATACATTTTCACCTAAAATTGAGGGAGATATTCGTTTTATTAAGAATTTCTTTTTTCATTATATATATATATTTTTTTTTCGAAAATTTCATCCCCTTTCATTTTCATACTACAAGGTACATGCAAAGTGACGTAATCTACAGATAGGGTAGTTTTGGTAAATACAGATCAAGTTGAGTATCGGCCGTATAGGGTAACGTCATTAGAAACCCTCTGTTGAACATTGAATTTGTCCAATACAGTTGGATGACCATTGGAAACGATACTCGCAGCGGTCAAGTATTCTCATGGCCGAATAACGAGGATAAAATTAATTGAAGATGAAATCATTCATCGATGACGTAAGCGTCAGCATCAATTGATAATCCAATTGGACTTGGACGTTAATTCACAATGGACTCCAAGAGGTCGGAGGAACTAGCCAGCTGCATCCATGAATAATACATCCAACCGATGACCATCGCGATTCGCTGCTGCGATTCGTATCCTGCATTTTCACAGTGGATACAGGCGTGTACACATTGAGCCTGCTTGTTCGTTGCGCCTCTTGCGTCATATATCCTCGTTTTCACATTGGCCAATGGGTCCAGGGATAATTGCGTAAAAAAATTAAAAGAACGGTGAAAAAGACGATTTCGTCTAACTCATCGTAATTTTGAAACGCGTTACAATGAATATGAGTTTTATGAAATTCTTACTTCCGGTCTTGTGCTATACCTAAATTCGTGAGAGCGCGTTAACTATGCACTTGCGACCTCGTGTGGACTAGGCATTAGTTTCTTTGGCGTCTTACTTTCTCCTTTTTATATTGCTTTGTGTATATATATGACGGTCCGTATTTTTGGTTGGATCCTCCGTTTCGAATTATTCGGTACTATTGTTATGATTAAATTTTCGTCCACCAGATCGAACGTTCCAAATTTCTTGCAATTTCATTGCGATTCAATGTCGCGCTTGGTTATCAGCTGATTATCTTAATTGTGAAATTACATTATTTATGTATCTTCTAGTCTAGATTTATTTAATGCGGGGTTACGGTTAGAGTGCGTTATGCGTGTGAACCAAGCATTACGTTACTAGACGTACTCTCACCTTTAAGCTAATTCACATTCCCATGCGCGTGAACGAAAGATCCAGGTAGATCGTAATCCTATGCTTGGAGAGATCGAGGAGACGATTATTATCAAAGATTAAAATTAGTCTTGCATCTTTGGATACATTGGGAAGATGCTGGGAAGATTGTAAATTTTTTTTTTCACTGAATTACATATACATATGGAAATGGGTAATTAAATTTTTTTCACGTGCATTTTTTATTCCACAAAAATTTTATATTTTTGAAAATACCTTATCTCACGTAATACATTGTATACTCGTGCACCCTGTATACGAAAATTCACGACAGGGCCTAGCACTGCTATTTCACGTAACGGAATTCAGCAGAAAGACAGGATCGGCAAAAATCCATTTTCTCGAAACGAGAAGTCGTCGACCTGTAATGGCTGCTAACCTTGACACGGTGCATCAACGTGCACTATGGTTACGTATACGGTATCTGTATAGTAATCCACGTAACATCCACCTTGCATAGAAAGAACGACGGCGATGGCAAGGCACTCTCGAATTTACGAGGTAATATTTTCGTTCTACATCAATTCTGACGTAAAAGTGTATTTGACATGTGAAAAACAAAAATACGTATATGGTAAAAAAAAAAATAATTTTTTTCAAACATCTCGTCCAACGTTAAGGACACCTGGGCAATTAGTGGCTTAGCATACAATAGACTTGCGTGCAATCGACTGGAGCTCCAATCAGCAGCATTTGCGGTGGGAACCACCGTAATTAGAAATTAAAGCGGATGGACCACGAAATATATATACGTCATACGTATAACCCTATTGCATATACTGTATATATATATATGAATTTATTACCATCTACAAATCCCGATTACAGAACAGCCGTGGAATATTTAATGATTTTCTATTAATTTCATAACGAATTATAACCTTAAAACCAGCGCACAGTTTCAACTTACGTGTAATTGAATATTTGAAAGTTTTAACTGATCCTGACCGCGAGGCCAAGGACTGATCACGCACGGTGTTCTCCTCTGCTGCCATCCTCTTACTTCAGTTCAAGGTAGGCACGTCCACGCATCTTTTCAATGATTTCATTTTGTCAGGAATATATTATAAAACGAAAAAAGAACAAGGTCCGTCTAGTATAGGAGTAATGGATACTACCGGGATACTTTGTAATTCGTAATATTATTTATTAGCTTCCCTATCCTTTGTGCTTCTTCTTTGGTTATGCGTGTCCTTCGTTAATTTCTTGTATGTAATTAGTCATCAGAGGTGGAGGATGCTTCTGTATAACTTGACCATGAATTTTATTTATAGCGTGAACGGATGCCGTTTCGAGTGGAAACACGAAGACAAAAAATTTGAGTAAATTTTTTTCTACCTTGTTCTTTATGTAATTATCATTGTATAGAAATCATCCCGATAGTCACTTTCGAAACTTTGCAAGATGGAAAATAACCGGTTTTGATCTTGTTACTTGTAACGTGTGATGGTACTTGCTCAATTATCTTTCATTTCGCAGGAACGAGGACGGACCGGGTATACGACTCTTCAGTTCCTTTGGCGAGCTGGTTGCTGGGTAACAAATATAACGCGTACTGCACAGTTGGTATTCCGGACTGTTGCTGTGTGGAAATTATAATTGGCTGACAGCCATCGTATGTGGGCCATCAACAATGACATCGAACGGAACGGCGATTGATCGGTAGCTACTTTGACACGGGGTATAAGGGTCGTGATTGAGAAAAATGTTAAAAAAAATATATATAAAAAGCCAAGAAAATATGCAGTTTGATAAAAAAAATTGCGTCGGTACTGTCAAGACAATTCATACCCTGCTATGAATTCTGATAAGGGGTGATAAAATTTGCTCGTAAGGTAAAAAAGGGTCGTGGGTATTGACTGTTATTTCAGGGTGGAAGAATTGATGCTTTTCCACACCCAAGGTATGATCGACCGATCGGTCAGATTTACCATTTTTCAAGCTTTCGTGGATAAAGAGATGCGGAAGTGTTTTTAGATTTTGACGTTACTATTTTTTTTTCTTCGGCATTGTTACTTAACGCTTGAAATTTTATTATTACACGTGTTACCAGCTAGTACGGAAAATACTGCTTTGTACAGGGTGGTCTCGCAATAAGTATTTCTATATTTTGATGTGATAAAGGGAGATGCGCGTTTGTCGAAGACAAAGGCCGCGGGAATGGGAACTCTTTTGTAGACAGGAAAGAAACAATCGGTGGCTCGTTAACCGTGTTAAAGATTTTTATTGCTGAATAGAAACGTCTCTTGGCAACGGACTTCAAAGGGACTCATGAAAATGGAGACTTAGTTTTATTTCCAGTATTCGTGGTTGGTACTTTTTTTGTACCCGAAATTATTCTTTTCCTCGATCGATATATTCGTTATCGATCTGATTTTGCGTTTGAGGCTGAAGCCTTAGGCACGGCAGTGAAATATATTCATATTTTTGGATTATTGCGAACTTCCTTTACGTTACGCTTCCACGAGCGATATGTCGCTCCGATGGAAATCGTTCCGACTGATGCGTTACCAACCGAACGCACCCTCGAGGCATGCTGGTTTGAGGAAAATTTTAAGAATTCAATTTATGCGTGACTATGCGTTTTTGGTATATTGAACAATTTTTTTCCTTCTTTTTTTGAGATAATTTTTTTTTCAAAATTTTGTAAATTTTTTTTTTTTTATATACAGCAACTCTGACTGGATGACCCACGATTGCAGACGAAGATAGGCCCTTTTTTCTCTGACAAAGATAATATATCAGTCGAAATCCGGAAATTGATGGGACGTCTAGGGACGAGGAATAATGCATGTCAATTTTAGTTCTCCCAATGGAGACACATATGGTTGGACGTATTCATGGGACTTTTTTTGGAGACGAGGGAGAAGGACGTAATGATGAACGGATGAGGGTAGATGATCTGGACCAGTTTTCATTTTCGTGGAGGACGGTAGCTCACACATGATTTTAATGGATTGTTCAAAAATATGTTGTTCGGAAAGGAATCAACGTTTTTTTAAATTTTTATCTTCCCGTCAAAGAAAACCCCTGTTACGTTCGATGTGAAAATTCTCGACCGTTTCATCCCGCTGATAAAACGCAGGTCGAGAAATTCACATAAAATCGGACATTTTCCGTACGTTTGCACGTGGCGGATTTTTACGCTCGAAAAAATGTTTTTACAGCACGGCAAAGATTTCACCACGTACAATTTACGCTGTTGGCAATCGAACGTAACCCGGATGAACGAATAATCGTACGAGCAAGGATCAGGAATAAAATTATTGAAGAAAAAAAAATCCGACCTCACGTGGGCTCGAACCAGAATTATTTGCGATTTACAAACTTTTTTGCATTCAATGCTTATTAGCCGCTTCTTCGTACACGTTTAATGTTAACACTGACAATTACGTTTACGCGTCCTTTGATCTACGGAATTATTTGACTTTGTAGAGAAATCCATGCTATTTTTTATAGGACGTGATCTATCCGTATTTAATACGTCTTCTGTGTAATCCTTGAGGCATTGAACCGTATAGTTCTGAGGTCATGCCACCTTTCACGTGTACTTATCTTTATTACGTACCAGCAATCAAAATATTACCACACTACGTACTGCTCGTAACATTTATTATTTCACCTTCTTATATTAACCAACTTGTCCTGAAATAAGGTAACTCCGCCAGCTTAATCGACAAGCTCTAATAAATAGGTGAGTTCATGTAAATTATATCTATACATATTTTTTCTATACTCGAACGATTTTCAAAACATTAAGTGAAATTCTAGTCGAATGAATAATGTGTCACGTGCAATAAAAACTTGGAAAAAAAAAAGTACGACAGAATTATCGAAAATGAAAGTCTATCAAAGGCGTAAAATAAATATTACCAATACTTTGATTTTTACTTTCTACTTTCACAACCTCGTGCGAGGACTAAAATTGTAATAGGCAATAAAAAAATTATGTACGATATTAAGAACTGTCACGTAAAAATATTTAAGAGATTTAATTATTTTATTTTTTTCCCTATTTTCTTACACGTGTCCAGTATGCAAATTGGTTCATGAATGAGGGCGCTTGGTTCATGACGTCAGACTGAAATTTCACGAAAATTCTCTAAAATGGAATCCGACACGATTTGCATACGTGAACTGGCATGCATACAAAGGCGCAGCGTGACAGTTCTGAAAACAATGAATGCAATTTCTTTTTGATGCTCGATCATAAAAAAAAAGGAATATGAAAAATGATAAAAACGTGAAGGGAGTCGCCAGGTGCGCCCGATACTCCCACCGCGCCGGTATACGACAGAGACTGGTGACTGGCTGTTCTGCTATAACGCCATTACGCAACACAAGACCCTCGTGAATGGCTGAAAAGCCATTGGACGTCGTACGAAGATGGAATCAAGAGCATTTCTGACTTCCGTAAAGTTTAGTCAGCGTCGCGGACGAGGTAGCAAAAAAAGATGAGAAAAAAAAAGGTAAGGACAGTCATACCGAAAAAGAGCCGTGGGTAAAGTTCCAGGATAACTTTTCAAACTCCCATCGCGACTCCGCTCCTCGAACAACCTGAAAACAACATTTCTATACGTACTTTTCAGCCGGAATTTCATATACCCAGACGAAAGATTTTTTTTTCTCTTCCGACAAAATATATACCCAAGCATTCACGAACTAGTAACATATTAAAGGCAATATATTCAGATAGCGATAATTGATAAATAAAAAATATAAATGACGGAGCGTCAATTATTATAATCAATAATTATACTCGCCTGGGCAATTAAAATGTTAGAATCTCATAACGACCTAATAGCACGAGGGTTACGTTACTGGGCAAATTCCAGTGGCGTCTTTAAATAAACACGTCGCGCATTGCTTCCTAGTTAGACGATGGCGCTGCTATGCACTACGGTGCGATCAACGGACTGCAGTGTTAGTCAGCAATGTGGACTAGCAATGCAGACAAAAACAGAGAATGTCGATAGTGATTTCGATCGCGAAGGTATCGATTTGTTGGGAATCGATTAATACATAATGTTTTAGCATAGGTCGATGGAGCGACGCGGCAAGCGTTCCCGGTGAGCATTCCATGGCGATTAGCCTCGTGGAAAGGTAAAGTAATGGAAGGTAAGGTAAAAGGAGGATTGCGAGGATGGCGTCTGGCCTCTCTGGTGAAAGGCAACACTGTCTCGGTCGAAGTAAACTGGCCCTCCCCATCCGCGATGCGCGGCAATTGTTTTTATTTGAAGTAAAGGAGTTGATATCGTTACATGGGAACCCTGACTGCACAGGATTTGCTCTCGGTTACTCCTGCCGTGGAATTGGTAGGGGTTAAGAGTTCGCGTCCAGCAAGAAGGCGGGGATCGAAGACGAAAGGCTGGAGGTATAAAAGAGGCATGGGGTCCATGTTGGGATAACACACCTCAACATGAAGGTACGTACGCAGGAGCTTCTGCACTTGTTTAATAACTTTGGATTACTTACTCTTTGGATAAGTGTTGTTGTTCTTGCTACTGTATGGAAATTAATGAAACTCATTGTTTCTTAGGTGTTCGTTGTAGCGTTGATTTTGGCAGTTGCCACCAGTGCTTATGGTGAGTGAAAAATTTCTATATAAGTTCGTAATTTTTGTAATTTATAACAAAAAGACTGGATAATAATTGAAACAATTTTTTAGGAGGATACATAAGTAGCGGTTGGTCTGGCGGAGGTGGCGGCTGGTCGGGAGGTGGCGGTGGAGGTGGCCTAAGCGGATGGAAATATGGCGGAGGTGGCGGTGGAGGTGGATGGAGTGGAGGTGGCGGTGGAGGTGGATGGAATGGAGGTGGCGGTGGCTGGAATGGGGGTGGAGGCGGTGGCAAGATCATCAAAGTGATCACGGTTAGTGGTGGAGGAGGTGGTTGGCCAAGCGGCGGCGGCGGCTGGAAATCCGGAGGTGGAGGTGGAGGCTGGTCCGGAGGCGGCGGTGGCTGGTCCGGAGGTGGCGGAAATGGATGGAAGCTTGGAGGAGGCGGAGGTGGATGGTCTGGAGGTGGTGGAGGCGGTAAGACATAGAACATCATAGTTCAATCGTTTTTATCATCTACTCTCGGCTGATCTATTGTGATCGGACGATTAACGTCTAACGGTCAACGAACCACCCTCATCCATGCTGTGATCCCCTTACTGGACCGACAGTAAATTCCCATTTACATATTTATTAACAATTACGAATACATTACAGGTTGGTGGTAAACAGTCTGATGTTTCGATCCTGGCACAGGGATGGACCACATGGAAATTCAATACCTCTTCTAGAAACGTGGCTGTTATTTCTCTCTAACTTTTTTAAATGCTCAGTACTAGTTACCGATTCCTTTGTATATTTTTCCCAAATAAACTTTCATAGAAACATACCAAATCAGTCTTTATAATTTATTCGAAAATCTGCGAGCATTCAGGATTCCTGAGCTATGATTAATTCTATAAAGAGTTCAGAAAGCTTTGACTTAACGGAATGATTAGTAGATAGGTGCGCGCTTTCATAAAGATGGATCTATAAAATTTTTCTAGCAAATAATTGGATTATTCAAAGCACCGGGGATCAGCGTCTGACTCGAAGCAGCAGTGCCTACTTGACCAACATGGTGATCCTGGTGCTCGCGTGGAATATTCGTTTGGTACCAACTGAGGGTTGGTTGGGTTGTTGGTCGGTCGATGGAAAAGTCCAGTGTTTTTATCCTGCCAATTTATACTGATGTTCCCAGGACACTCAAGGAAGCTTAAAAAGCTCCCAACAGCTAATTGGGCCCTTCAGATCTGTGCTTTGAATTATGTATATATATCTTCGTTGTAAAGACTCGTCAACAAACCTTGTTTGTGCTTATAAAAAAAAATTCACAGAAATTAGAAAATATAAACAAATTTTCATATACCCGCCAATAGAATTTCTATTCTCATACAGACAGACTACAAATATTAATTTTTATTTGAATATTGACCTGGCAAAAAATCACTTTGAACGTAACAATCCGCGCAGAAAATTAAAAAAAAAGTTAATCATCCTCACAAAACTATGGCGTAACAGTCATACAGACTAGTAGAAACAATTATTCAAGATTAAAAATTTACGAAACAAAATTTGCCATACATATTTGCCTAACCTAATAGAGATTTGCACAGCTGGAAAAATATGTGATATTTCACTGGCGTCCCGTGTTCGGAATATTTACGTTAATATTCCTTGCCCATTTCACGAAGGGTAACGAACGTCGATGAAACTAGCAATTAAATTAGTACGGATTACAGAATACAGGTGATCGTGTGAGCGCCGCGAGTATCGAAGGCAGCGTTAGTTCGCGTGGCCGCCGCTATACGTATCTGACAAGGGTGAGGGTTTGGGATATAAATTTTGAGGAGGAACGGGGCTGGGAGTATGGCTGGTTTGAGCCCGCGGTGTATCAAACACATCTGCCGCATGTGCACCCCATCTTCCATATCCACCCCCCGACACATTTCCCCGACCAAACTGAACCGACCTAACGCTCTAAAGCCGATTACAAATCTGACCAATTAAGCGCACGCCGGTCGCCCCTGACAGTAGGCGTTTAACTATAGACATAACTGCGCATGCGCAACGACTGTTATAGAATTCTTCAAATATACAACCAGCCACAAAACTTTACGTCGTGCGTGATATTAATTGTTCTCTATATTCACAACAGGCAAGGTATTACTGTAGTTATATGCGTGTATTGTGTATATATATATGGGTATGATACCGGCAGAATTTTTCTCTCTAGTACTAGGTCAACGTACAGCACAATTCCATCAGCCCTTGGAAATCTCGGACGCGTGCAACGGCCTGCTCGGCAATAATTTATTATTCAACGCTGCACACTGTCCGATTCGCCGACTCTTCTGCAGCGACTGCATCTACACTGCAACGGGATAAAACGGTGGGTATTCGCGAGAGCGCGCAAACAAGTCGATATTTTATTGCCGGCGGATTTGTCATATTAAACAATAGTGGATGGCCGTCGGGCTTTGCGTGGACGTTACTGGAAAACTGACGTCACGCACTCCGGCAAGAATTCACATATCTATACCGATACGATATTCATATACGTGTATCTATGCTAAAACTACCTCCTCTGTACCGTCCTATCAGAAAACGGTGGGTGAGTCGTTAGCTACGAAATTGCAGGTCCGTAACGTCGGAGGAAATAAAGAAAAAGAAAATTCTAGGAAGCGTTGCATAAGAGTGCAACGAAAGGAGTAGATACAAAGGTGGTTTTGGATTGGGATACAGGGGTTTGGGTAAAAATAAAAAACAATATAAAAAAAATTGAAAAAAAAAAAGATCAACCGAAAGGAAAAATAAAGAACTAACGGACAAAGACGCTCTAGCCAGGGTTTTGTGCAATTTCCGGAATCTACAGAAAGGACCAAAACGAGGATCCGTACCATGGAGTACATAAAGATTGCACGCACTTCCATCTGCACGAGTGATAACATCAATCTGCAAGCTCTGAGGATAAAAGGAGGCGGAATGAGTCGCGTTGTGAATCGCACGTTGATTCAGAGTGAGTTTCTCCTGTCTGGTACAGTCGGCCGATTATGCGTTGCTGGTTCCCGACTTGAAATACCTCCTACCACTACCCTCCTCAACACTTTTCTATCTACGACGCAGCCGACGACACTCGTAACGACGACGCCAACGTCGCGACGCCCGCTCGCGCATATCCGCTCCCCGTTTAGGCTCTTCTTTTAACACGGCAAAGCACCTACGTGATTTCTCTGTACTTGCCGAGCGAAAGGGAGGATCGAAATTGCGGATTAAAGCTCGTCTGGGTTAGGTGCCAGGAGAAAGAGAAAGAGACAAAAGAATTTTTAATAAAGTACACTTGTTCTTAGGTAAAAAGAGAAATTGGTGCTAACAAGCAGATGGGTAAAATTATTATTATCATTATCAATGCGTATTTTAGAGATGATTAAAAAACAATTTTTTTCACTTACGTTTGTAATTAATTTAACAAATTAGTCGACTCAAACGTCAAGACTGACCTCTTGACTTATTCTGTGATAATAATCGGAGCGCTACGTTTCTATTATGTCGACAGGGGTACCGAGATTAAAACCTGTTTAAAGAGTCTCTGCTTAATGTGCGAATAAAACGAGAGTGCCGGCTGACTCGCATGTGACGAATCTGTAGAAATTGCGAAACCAGTCGACACGTACACTTAAAAATGATCTCGAGTTCTCTTGTTTCAGTCGGTGAGTATTTTTGTGTGAAATACAGAATTTACTTGGTTGCGACTACAGATAAATTCCATTTAATAAACATTGCATGGTAAGAATTTAATTACGGAGCATTTTTTAAGTTTCGATTAAAAATCCCTGCACGAATATTAATTGTTGAAATTTTTAAGAATAATCCACAAGTCTTACAGATAATATAATAATACTATATCACATAACAGATACTTGATGCTGTGCACGAATCAATGTACCGAGATTACAATGAGTCAGGTATATCAATATGGCGTTCTAAGAAAACAATTAAATTGTAGAGCAACACAAAGACTGCAGAGTGCAATGTTTGTCGTGTAAACATGAAGCAAGTATTTGTTCATGGCACAAGTATCGATTATCGTTCTAGTATTATTGCTACAATGAAAAGTACACTTGAGCCGAATATAAGAGACAATCAAAAGCGTCAGTTTTTTCATTGTACCTTTAGTATTATCTTTAACGACCCTTATAAAGAGTTCACAGTGTTTCTTCTTGATTTACGTACACACGCGTGATACATTATTGCCTTTTGTTCCTTAAAGCGCAAGAGTCCTCGACGGTAACAATTAAATTGGATAATTGTTAAAGTTTCGTATAAATTATATAATTAAATTCCAGATTCAGTCTTACGTTCAAGTATTATAATGGCGAAGAATGAACTCTTAAGTCAAATGAGATACTGTAGGAAGCTCATGAAAATTTAAGCAGTTTTAACATACTTGGGATACATTTACTCGAGTAATATTAAATTATATATTTAGATACTTTTCGACCCTCGACATTATGCTTCTTTGAAAGTTAATTATTTTACACTAAACAGAAACCATAACTAGATTTTTGATTTTTCACGCTCGATTTTTGACTGATATTTAAAGTGGGCATCATTCGGCAAAATAGACAGACTCGTGATAAATCATATAGCGTGTCGCGCATTACGAAGATTAACGTTCTTCATCCGCAGAGCCACGCCAGAGGCTTCGTTCTGTGAAATGGCGTCCTGGGGGACGAATAAAGGGATCAGGTACATATTGTTTTCGAAAATGTTTGACGATCCATGAAAAATAATTTTTCACGATTTTCTTCCCCCAAAAATGTAAGTCTGAAAAAAAAGAAGTAAAATTACAACTGATCATCCTCTAATAAAATAATGCATAAATGTAATATATCACGACACGACTGACAAGATACATTACCGTCCAATTAATCGATTGATCATTGACGAATGGCGGAATTGATTCGCCTCCATATTTCAGTGATTTTCAAAATAATCGGAACCCTCGTTCGGATAATCAGCAAGCGGAAGAATCCTTTGTTCGTCGGGGCGACGTCATCGGGTTCGTTTACACGTGAACATTTATATCATCCTGTACCGCTAGATGGCGTTGAAGTAGGTGAGTTTGAAAGGGAAGGTTACTTTTTGAAAATCTATACTTACGTCCAGGCTGTGTGAGGAGAAAACGTGTCAAAGTGGCAGGAGAGTGGCATTCGCGTGACGGACTCTTGAGAACTCTTAACTCGCTTCTAAGTTCGGCTTAAAAGGCTTGAGTTTCCACTCTTCAACGGCCATCGCTCTTTAGCGCCCTGTACGACCTTTGGCCTGGGGAGGTCATTCATTCTCGACATTCAAATTCCCAATTGGAGAATTATCAGATTGAATAGGGTAGATTCGCCCCTTAGATGCTCAGCCGTAGCACAAAGGAGTCTTCCGTGAAGATGGTTAGTTCCGTCGCCAAGTCTGTGTAAAGTCTGAATTAAATAATGATCATCCCTCGGAGAGGACTGCGCCTGGGTGATCGTGTCCTATCTCTCCAGGACATCTGGAAGTGGGTAAAAAAAAATTTTCTCATCTCCCACAACTGACAAAAATTGCAAGAAAAAACGTAGACAGTCTTCAAGCTCATTATTAACAGCTACAAAAATATATATAATTCGCAATAAGAGTAATGATTACAGTGAATTTTATTTTTATACACATCTGGCAATAGTACCATCCACTTCCGGCTCGCCAGACTCTATAAAACCAATTACGAGTTGATGATCAACCAGTGCATCCCTCCTTCGTTCAGCCGAGACAGAGATTAGCAGATATCCCAGTAAAGAAATCTGAGAATGAACCAAAAAAAAAAGTTAAATTTACGTATACGAAGAGAAAATGAATCCCGAGATGAAAGGGATATCGGAGAGAATAATAAATATATATATATATATATACATACATATATAACAGAGTGAAAGAGAAGAAAGGTACGTACTATAAGGGAGTAAAGTCTTTCAGCTGGCATGTCACGTGCGCCATGAAGCGAGTTCGAATTCAGGAAGTGATTTAACACGAACGATCGAACGCCGGTTCGTGCGTAACCGGAATTCGCCGATTGGCCCCGCTGTTGGCCGAGAGGCGAATTCTAATTAAACGGCATGCGTCCTCTGATCGGACGGGAATCCAAAGATCGCCCCTGGCAACGGGGTCGGCATCGATTACTCGAGCAATTTGCCTACCCCAACAGGAGCAGAAGTGCACCAGGGTGCAACGATCGAAATAAGCCCCCAAGTTGGAGCAACTAAAATACATATACAGATACAGACTGGCGAATCCCCCGGAGCGAAAGCCCTTAGGGAAGACCCACGAGTGCATGCCCCCAAGCCATACGTAGGTCCATAGGGGTTTAAGGGTGGGTCGAAGATGTTGATGACGTCGCCGATGGCCTTAACGGGTTCCACGACAATGAGAGAGATCTTCGAGCCCTCCAGGTCCCACTCGAGGAAACAATAGTCGAACGAGTAGCGACGATAGATAGGCCTCCGTCGAGTGGCCGAGCGAAGGGGACGCGGAAAGGCTAAGGGATGAAACGGAACCTCGGCAGGGTATACGGGGTGACCAGCTCCTGGAATCCATAGCCCCGGGTCTCTTTTTAACGACGTGCTCGGACACGTCGCACCCCTAGGAGTCTGTGCGCCTAACCTCCACGCGTGTCTAACACGGGCAAGGCTGGGTGTATTAGATTCTCACGTACGCACCCTGCAACCCCCTACGCCCATTTAACCTACCCTTGCGTCTCTTTTGGCATCGTTCAACCTTAATATTTTCGTATCCACTCGTACACTATACACGCGGGCACCCAAAGTTTACATATATACACCATACTCGCCTATCCCTGTGTACCTGCAATGTAAACGAACCCAACCTCCGACACGAGGTTTCCCGTTTTCCCCAGCATAACCCACGCCAGTATCTCCATCGACTTCACACTCTCCATAACTATCCCCACCTTCTTGGCTTCCTCCCCCGGGACGACTTGGACTCCCTTCTCCCGGGTCCCTTCCGCTTCTTGACGTGGCGTCTCTACCAGCCAATTCGACGAGCATCGCCCTCTACAATCTGCAGGCTACCGTTTCAGTGTCGCGTTACCGCCGAAGGCTATGCACAGTTACGTATGCGCGCCTCGTGTTACGCCGGAGAGCTGGAAGGTCCCTTTGACAAGAACAAGAGCGATGGTGGCTGGCGGAACGAGGGCTGGCCCGACAGGGCTAGTTGAACGAAGGGTAGAGCGAGAGGTATTAACGGATAGGGTGGTTAGGAGCGTAGAAAAAGGATGAACAGAGGACCCGAAGAGTCGGACGAGCTACATTAAAACAGTCGGGAGCCACTGTAAAACACTTTGTTCTTTGGTTAATGGAAGATTGCCATTCCTCGCTGAGATACCGTCCTAGTGGGCCGTTTTGAAATTTTTTTTACAAGAGAGAAAAATGAATGGAGGGGAGGTGAGGGGATACTTTATTTCATGTTTGCTTATCGAATAGTCTAGAAATTATTTTTTTGCTTAAAAAGTAAGAGAGAGAGAGAGAGAGTTATGCTTATAGGTTTATGGGTGTGCAAGGGAGCGAGAGATGGTATCGACGTAAGAAAGGACAGAGGCAATGGAGGAATGGATCACAAGGGAAACTTGAGTGCTGGTAGACTAGAGAGAGATCCCGGCGTTGTGCGCTCCTTCCAATAACTGCCGTAAGCTTTCTCGACTTTTGCATAGAAAACGTAGAAGGTCCGTGTGTTTTCTTCTTTTGCTCGATATGGGTCCTTGTATCTTGTAGTAGACGTCAGTGACGTACGTATCATGCTCAAAAGAGTTCAGACGAATTCTCCCCTACCTTCGTCCCGCTGAAGGATCTGTAAACGCATCAAATGCAAAGACTTCCAAATAGACCTCTACTATTTTCCTCTGATCTCTGGCACTGGTAAACGTTTCTCCTACCACTGACCGTTTTTCAGTATTTTCGAATATACATACACGTATTAAAGCTCCAGGAGAGACATGCAGACAAGGTATCTCGGTAAATTGGTAGATACGAACAATCCCAAAGCATTGTCTCGTGCCAGTAACGGGCACCCAGACATCCCAAAAGCATCCTAGTTAGACTCGGAGTTCGTGAAAAGTAGCCGGGCCGGAGGTACATAGCGAGATGTTGAGAAGAGATTCGCAGAGAAGAATCGCCGTGGAAGAGCCCCTCCCTGGAGTGGGGAGTCTGTGAAGGATAAAAAAAAAATTTTGAAAAGAGAGTTAAAAAAGTTGATACGTCAATGACGAAGAGAGCGTAGGTGAGTCTGGGGTAGCTCTTTTTTTTGCTACCCTGGACTTTTACCTTTGTACCAGCTTCACCCTGACAGTCGAGAGTCTCATAGTTCTCGTGGGCTGCTCTACCCAGGACGGGGGTGGTAGCGTAATACCTAGCAACCCCTGGCCTATACCGGTTGTCCAGCATCCACCTTCACTACGGCATCTCGCTCCTCTACCTACTACCTGCTATCTACTACCTAGACGGGTGGCTGGCCGGGATGGGGTGGACCGGGTGTAGGGTATCCACCACCGGGGGAAGGGTGCCGAGAACGACTTTGGGGGTGCGCTTGCGCTGGTGCCGTGGGGGTTCATAGCCGCGATCAGTCGTAGTCGGTGGTGCCAGGGGGCAAAGACTTGCGAGAACGCGCGCGAGACGATGAATGCCGCCGTGTTACTGTTTTATACAATTGTTTTCTTTGTTTTTACGTAAAAACGTCACACTTTAAAGCAGGAGTACAGTGCGTTCAGGAATTCGTTACGAGGAACCGGGTACTAGTCTGCTGTATACCTAGATAAGAGACCGGAGGACTGAACGCCTTTGAAGAAGGTGCACGAGGCGAAGGAAGAGGAAGTACAGAGGAGCCGAGGAAGTTGGTGGTCATCCTAGGGAACGTGGAGGTGGACAAGGAAGAAGAGCTGGAGGAGGAAGAGGAGGCGGAGAGAGCGTCGAGATACGAGAATGCTCGCTCGCTGTCTGATCATAGCGGGTAAGTATCTACTTTAAAATTTTTTTTCAATCTCATTCAATTCCCATATAAGTCTCTTATAAAATAACTATACACTGTTTACTTCGAATACTCCAAATCTAAGGGTCATAATATCGCACACTTTTCATACGATTCTCAGGTATATATCTTGTTACCCCGTTTTTTTTTTTTTGTTAATATCACATTTTTACAAATTTCGCTGTCACTGATAATATACATACACGATGTAGAATTATTTTTAAGAGGCGATTCATTCACATGGATCCTTGTCCTTTCATATAGATCCGTAAGACCCACGTCTGGCGAGCCTGTAACATAAAAGTGTCTGAGACGGTACTGGGAATAACACGTAAAAATGTATATCGGTCTAGGAGAGTTTTTTACCCCAAGACGAGATAGTCGAACGACACCGGGTTGTCGTAGACTTTTCCAACCCCGTAAATACTCCAAGTAAACGGCTGTCCTGCTCCCGCGTTTAGTTCCACTCTCCACTATCGCCACTTTCTAGCCCCAAACTTCGTGTGACCGTAGATTTGAGTCTGAAAAAAAAACCACAGCGACGACTTAGCCACCCATAACAATAGTGAGAAGAAAGTTGGCTCGTAAAAAAAAAATCGCAACATTTTCGTTACCTTTTCATACGATTATACATTAAAGCGTCTATATTGACTTCGCTATGTTATACAAAGCCAGGATATATCCTTCGAGAGACGAAAATAATTATGAATGTAAATAAAAAATTATCTATATATATAACCTACCGTGTAAATTTACCAGTAAAAATTATAACTAATCAATAATATATAAAACGAATTTTACGAATGGACTGTACCAAAGGTTTTGAGTATAAGGTGTAAAAATATCGAATTCAACCCTGAGACAATCCTATTAACAGCTGATCCATCCAGATCAGATATTTACGCCATAAAGCGGATTAAACGATTTCGCGATACACGAGTAGGGGGTGTTTGTTTCGATCCAATTAGTCGCTCTTGGTAAAAGCCGATATGACATAGGATCAATGAAGAACGGATTGCCAAAGAGAAGTGAATGACAGAACTGTCGTTACTCGTATCAAGTGAGATATTCAGCTCCGAAGGCGTCCCAGCCGCCTTACTCCCTGTAAGGGTAGCTAACGATGAGGAAGGACCATCCGGTGCGAAAAAGGTTTGCGAATTGCAAATCTTGTTATATCGCGTGCCCAGGGTTAACAAGGACGTTTGCAGAAATAATATTCAGAAATTTAAATGCAGGAACAGGGAGGCTGAACGGTAGCGAGAAAGAGAGAGAGAGGGTAAAGAAGGGCAAACTACCTAATAAGAAGCTCGTACCCAGCAGCCCCCGCGGCACCCAATCTTCAACGGCGCCCGGGGCTACGTTAATGGAATATTTTAATGGCTAAGTAAACCTTTAATTACGGCCCTGTTGCCCGCGAGGACATTGTGCGAAATTAGGGATAAGAAGGTAAGACCAGGTCGACGCCTACGATAATTCATGAGTACGAACCAATATGCATATTACCTCTGTATTACCTATGGCTCTATGTATAGACGCTATATGCTGTACCATATATATATATATTCCCGTACAACCTAACCTACAACCCCGAAACAATGTCCCGTCCTAGCAAGAAGCGTCAGGATCGTTCGTTGGCACGTTTCGCGATTACGTGGATAACGCGTCCCGACGTGACGAGCCTACGGATTTGGTCTTGCGCACTCCGAATAATTTATTCCTTATGAAACGTAAGCGCCTGGAAACTGATTCCCACGGGAAGCGTCTCTCCGGACGCCTTAAGCGTCATCCTAGGCGTAATGCCGGCTTAACAATTATTACGTAATTTCTTCGCTACAGACACAGCAGAAAACAGTATACGCCAAATTATAAGCATAGTTGCTAGCGAGTAAGTCGGCCATTTTGAAAAGTAATTAAAAGTTCTCGTCTGCTAATCTGAAACCAAAAAAAAAAAATACAACAGAGAATTAAAATCAACGTAGAGATAGGGACGCTCGTAAGGGTATCCTTGGACAGTCTGGTTAGAAAATTGTATAATGCCTCGTAAAGAATTCCGCGAATAAAAATCCACGTCGTATTCCTAAGCCCAGGTAATCTTCCATCCACGCGTACACTGATTTCTCACTGTGTAAATTGGGCTTCTAAGTAGATACAGCCTGATCTCGATCAGACATTAAATCCCACGTACATCTTACCCCACGAAGGGTAACACCTGATCGATCACCATTACCGTCTTATGTAGATATACAGTAAGCATCGTCGCCAATAATTTACGTTACTGATATACGTTAATTAACATCTATTTATAGTCTATCGATACATTCGATATTACCTCAGGATTACGTATTACAATTTTCTGTTTTATCAGTCAAGTACCGGTACAGTGTACTCCTATATATATATATATACATACAGGTACTCGTATATTTATACGAGTACTCGTGTACTCGTGACACGTAAATTTTACAGTCTCCATATACCCCGATACAAACGTAGGACATATCTGGGATGCTGCAAGGTGGGGTACGAGCGAAGGTGCTGTCGTGACGATGGGATGAGAGAAGGACGAGGGGGAGGGGGAGGGGATGAATTGGTGGCGGGTAGTTACGGGGTTGGAGTGAACGGGGGATAACGAGCTCAAACTCGACTCCTCTCGGGTCGATGGCTGTACGTTTTCGTCTTGCCCGGCTGAGCGATGCAGTTTCTCTCGCTCGTTCTGTCCTTCTCTCTCGCGCTTACTTTCCCCATCACCCGTCTCCATCGATCACCTGTATTTTTGACTCCTTTCACGCGCTTTATCCTCCTCGTATCGCTCTGATCGACAATCCCGCCTTCCCTCTCTCTCTCTCCTACGCACGATCCTGTCACACGCCTTATCTCCTTCTCTCCGTCTGACACCCTCGCTATCGCATCTACCGCGAGTCTGTCGGCAAATGGAAGATTTCCCACGGTCAATCCTGCCAAGGGGTAGCTTTAAGGGTTACACGTAACGCGTGTAAAAATTGTTTCTTATGAAATATTTTTTTCTCTTTTCTCTTGACTCACCGTTTTTATTGGAAATGTCGTCACGATTGGGGCCGTTGGTAGGGGGTGGTGCGAGGGGGCTTTGACCCATTGTGATCACGTCGTAAACTTCTACGTGATTTTTACTCGTTCCTGGGGAGTTGGCGAGCGAGGAAAGTTTATGGAATATTCATATTTATAGGGTATACACGGCTGGGGCGGACAGGGGGGTTATTGATACTATTTTGAATGTTACTCTCTCACGTTTTTATATCGGCCCTCGCGTAAGACGAGAAATATATTTTTTTTCTTCACTTTAACGAACATCCACCACCCCCCTTCCGCGGCCCTTCTTCGGCATGACAAATATTTGCTCTTTTTCTTTCTTCGCTTATCAATCTCGTTTAACCTTCTTCCTCCTTCTCTCGATCTCTACCGTCCTCGCGAGCTACAGACGAGACGCTTCGACGAGTTCAGTGAATGCCACGGGGATTCGTCTGATATTCGAATTTTCCTCGGGCAAGAAATTGCTCGCTGTACCTTGAATCGCATTGACGGCGATTATCGTCACTTCGACGAAATACTGTTGAATTCTCATGAGAAATCTCTGAGGTTCTTAGACCTCCGAATAGGAATAAAAATGAAGGAGATGGAATTATGGGAACTGACAAGAATGGCAGATTTAAATAAAAATATATGTTCGCGACCTATGACATTGAGGTTAAGTGAACGGTCGTTGAAAAATATATAGATATTTTTTGGGTATGAAAAAAATAGTAAGGATCACGATAATATTTATCGTACAAATATCGATCGTGTATCCGTCCGTATTTTTCTGTTCATGTGTAGTAGAGAGAAAAAGGTAAAAGGGATACTGCAATTTTGAACGTCCCTTGGAATTTCCTTGTAATCGCAGGACAAGGAAGACAAGGGTATTGGCGGAACTTTCGTAACAGTGATATTCATGAATAAATATGTAGTTCCGTTACGCAGACAGCAGACGTCTATTGGGTCGAGTGAGTGAGAAGGTCCGTGCGAGAGAAACGTGAACTACGTAGGGTATATATACGTGCAGGGATAGCTTACATGCTGTGTACCAGATGAATACATAAATGCGCGAAATTTTATACGAATCTATACGCGCGGCGAATGACGCAGACATTCCAGAAGGTTTTATCGCGGGAATATTCTGAGATATCGAATGGAGATAGAATAGCGTTGTAGAGAGAAAAATATAAAAAATATATATCTGTGCCGCGTTTCAATTCCTGATAGTAGCTTGTGAACGAACTCCTGGGGTAACGAATGGCGAAGATGCAAGGTAGAAATAATGGGGAAGAGATTCCCTGCTGGGATATATGTATATCATAAAGTCATTTCGAATAAAGTCTTTGTAACGAGAGCAGAGAGCCGAGAGAGAGAGAGAGAGAGAGAGAGAGAGAGAGAGAGAGAGAGAGAGAGAGAGAAATTGAGAAAAGATAGTAAAGAAAATGCTGTTCTGGAAATTTGAAAAATTCCACAAAAGAAATTATTCATCGGCACGAGACGGTAAAGAAAGAACCTTCGATTCGTTAAGATTTTTTAATTTCCTATACCGAGCGTGAGTGCGAGAGAGAGGGACCTATCGGCACTCACGTGAGTAAGAGAAGGACAGAGATATGGAAAATCGAAATCCTGGGTAGAACCCTTCTCTAGAAAGAAACGCGTATTTGAATGGTCGTAACTTTCGAATGGTTCGTGATATCGCGATGATCCACTAGGACTTTTTATTCGGATTTTTTAACCAAAGAATATTACTGTCTTTTTTTTAATATACTCGTATCGGGAATATTCATGAGAATATTCATGTGAGAAAAATGTATATTGTGATTTGTCAAAAATCCTCCAGACGATACCTGTTGTCAAGCATAGCTGGGTTAACCCATATCACACAAAATGTATAAAATTATATATATATACATAAGTCTTACGATATTTCCTAAAGTTCGAAATTCCACGAGGATCTTGTAAATTTTTTTTAATTTCCCGTTAATTTTTTGTCATCTTATTACGGCAATGTGCTTGATACTTTAACAAGCATACGGATTTCTGGAGTTGGATCCTTTAATCCCAAAAGGTATATCGCGTTACGTAACGCTAAATTTACAACGATCCGTTAACATTCTCGGCCCTTCGTTCTTCGTCCCACGGGACTCGTCATCCTTCCACGAGCCAGTCGCTTAATCCCATCCCTTGACGCCACGTCGGATCACCGGAGATTTGTAGGGCTGTCGTATACCAACCTAACCTACTCACGTACGTACATTGCTTAGTCTGCCTCACGTCTTTCCAAGCAGGTAAATTAATACTTTTGCCGACCAAAATGATTATGCATACGGAAGCAATGAGCGATCCCCAGTAACTTTTTCCAAAATTTCCTAGTAATATTTTTCAGCCCTTTTGGAAAATTGTGTTCATTAATATTACACGCCAGGACGAAGTCAGTCGTTAAGCTAATGGTAGAATGCACCTGGAGGCTCTAGGTCTTATAAGGGATGTCATTGGAGGGATGCTGAAAGAATGCGAAAAAAGATCTCTAATCCTTTAATACGTCGTATAACCTCGATATGTGAATTCAGATACGTCGCTCGGCTGCCCTGAATGGAAGGAATGTGGGTAAATGATTTTTTTTGGAGGATGAAATATTTTTTTTTATGAATTACGAAATTTGACCCTATATTTTCTGGGGTACAAGGGAAAGAACCCGTAGGCTGAAAACTCTACCGGAGGAGTTCGTGGTTGTTCGAGAGGAACGTGGCAGGTGTAAAAAGGAAAAGAGAGGAAGAATAAAAGGGAGGAAAAAAGAGAATCTGAGCTCCAGCTTGCGTCCATCCGCATTTCAACCCCAACGTATATCTCGGCCTCGTTCCAGGCTACTCTCATCCCGAGCAAGACTTTCCCTCTTTACTTCCAGCAAACCCCTGTAGCCGCCCTCGTATTTCCTCAGCAGCGACCGAGCCCCCCCCCCGACCCCCTCATCACTAGTGCCTGTTAGAGAAAAGAGAGACAATTCTCGATAAGTCAATTTTCAGACCGCCGCAGTCGAAGACAGTGGCGAATTAAATTTTTACGGAAGGTAAAGAAAGGGGCGCGATAAAAAGAATGGGAATAAAAGATAGAAAATATAATTATCTCAGAGTAATATTACGAATCCTCCCAATTCACTGATCCAGACCAACGTAACCCAATATTTGTAAAAAGCGTCAGAATTCAGCATATAGAAAATGTAAGGAGAAGAAGACAGCAATCTAAGGTGCGACAAACTAATATAAATAAAATTACTAAATAATTCCAAAATATCATATAAGTTCCAAGAGCTCTGAGGAATTATAAGTAAAAGATCAAAATCGGTGACCGACAAGGGATGCTGTACGGACAGCAGGGGATGTTTCTCCTGAACAAGTAATACCGCTTCACCGCCAGGAGGCGAGGAGACGGGTAAAAAGGTTGCCCCAGCAAATAGCCGACAAGTTGAATCCGTCTATATCGACAGTTCCAGTGGATAGATGAGAATCTTTCACCTGCTTGTAAATCCGATAAGAAACGTGTGGGAGAGGGCGGACGTAACGTCTCCATCTTCATCGCGTCTCAAATAGCTTCCTCAAACGTTCTAAGCTCGTTCGCTCTCCAGTTACCAATCCCAAGTACGTATCCACACGTAAAGATCAAATCCGTTTCATAACCTAAAAAAAAACATAACCTCGTAAACTGACCTTTTTCTATTGAAAAAAAATATTTCTTTTCACCTTACCTCCTCCCTCTGCTCCATTACAAAATGATAACAGACTCCAGCAGATCACGCAATGTCGACTGCCGATACGATATGATGCAGCTGCCGCCACACTGCGCGTCGTTCCTGGCGTCATTTCCGGCTGACACTGGTATTGTGCAGTCCACATTGTTCTCGCGTGTATTCAATGAGACGGCCCGCGGCAACGAAGCGTAGAATTCGTAAGCGAACGAGGTTTTACCTCGAGGAACAATGAATTGTTCTGGAAGATGTCATTGTCCGATCGCTCCAGGGCCCCGTCGCGTTTCGTATAATGGATTCCGCTCCTTTCATCTGGCAGTACTGCGTTACCCCTTACTCGTCCTAAGGTACGCGGTGCCCGGAACATGGTAGATACACTCCTGACTTTCCTTCGCACGAGTAAAGACAGCACACGATACTTTTTGTGGAGCTATAAAGATAAAGACACACATATACATATATATTTCACGATATATTTTCAGACGTATGATTTCGCATGCCATAACAGATTTGCCGATATCGCTTCTTGTCGATGAGGATAGCTTTCAGGGACGTAGACGGGTCTTCGAGTGCCCTGTGGTTTTATCGAAAAATACTTTTATAAATGTACGACTGCATTGCGAAACGTCGTTAGACGCTGATAGTTTTTAAAGGGAATGAAAGAGAAGAAGAAAAAAAATGAGAGTGCTTCGTGACGTGTCTCGTTAATGAAAATATAAATCGTCACACACCCCACGGAATAAAACACGGTTAGTACTGTCTGGGCAGGACGCGTGAATTTATTGCTTCCTCCATCCTGCATCAGTCTGCACGATAATCGACTCTTTTCACTGGCTGATTGGGACTACCGAGTTTTCTTCGAAAGCACAGCGCAATCGCCTCTACATTATGGTATTACATTGTTGTACCTTAATTAGATCGAACGAAAATAATAAAGGGCAAGAGGGGGACGGGGTTGAAGAGAGAGATTGAGAAAGGGAGAAAAAATACTGAATTTCATAGAGATAAGGGCTGACTGTTTCCTTGACATTGGCTCTTAGGCACGTGCGCTGGGTTGTTATCTGGAAGTACGGGAGGGGAGGGTGAGGAAGAGGGGGCGTCATCCCTTCTCTCAACGGCGCCATTGAAAATCTTCCCTTACGTTAGCTTCTAAC